ATTCAGTAACCTTTTTTATACTAACCTGGTATCATCGTTGTAGATATCGCTGCTTGAAGACCTGTCTAGGCCCTTCGCAACTCCAGTCACACAATTAGCATATTTAATCGATGTACCACTTTTATTAAATACACTTCTCTATGACAAATAAACAATTAATTGGTTACAGTTCATTAAATAATTAAACCACAAAGAATTTAATTAAAACGTGGGAGGTTTTTTGCCGCAACTAATCGTTGTCATTATTTCGAATTTGTATCACCTCGCCGTCATCAGGATATTCGACTATTCAAAAATTGTGCGCGTAGTAAACTCGCATCAAACCTTAGATTGTAATTATTACTGTGATCAGCATTGGCTCGTAACACAAATCGCGAAACATTTTGGGACCAATTACATTTTGTTGATGAATTTTTAATGTTTGACGCTATAAAAGAACATCATCCATTTTATTATGTTCTTGACTATGATATTATTTTGTTATCTTAAAATTCTACTTGATTTCGGTTGAATCGTGATTAATTGTACATATTCTGTAGATATTCAATTGTCGGATCTTTTGTACAGAGCCCCAGCTACTTATGCAAAATGTGAGATTTGAGAAAAACACCCCCGCAACGTTTTAAAATAAAAAAAAGTTTTGTTCAATACACAGAAGTATTTTTGTACTGAATGGAAATCAGACTGATATATTCGAAATACTATACCAGATTTCTATTTAAAATGTTCGATTCATCGATTGATAGCGTATGTTATAGTTTATATCCACCTACTTATCTTTGACTAACTTTGCTTGTTCATATTGTTTCAAACGTTTTTAATTTTATACATTTTAAAAATATAATGTAATGGAAATTGTCTACTTTTCTTCCGATTTTTATATATAACTACCGTGTTTCCCCAAAAATGAGACCAAGCCTAAAAGTAACCCAACAGTTTTTTTTTAATATCATAAACCCGTTTTTTAATGGATGTAAAGGAATATCGGTTTTCATACTTTGCATATACATATATATAAAATCTCGTAATCCTCAAAGTTGTAATATTGTGTTTGATAAATAAAAATAAAAGACATACTCCCAATATAAGCCCTAGTGTAATTTTTCGAAAGATATAGTAAGATAGGTATTTGAATCCCTGAAATTTTTTCCAATGATACAACAAAATTCCCCATTTGACAACTACACTAACAGAATCAAATATATCCTTGTTAGATTTGACCTCGCACGCCTCACACTTTTGTCCATTTATATTTCTCTATTATATTAACAATCCCAGACGAATTATTTTCTATCTTTATTATCTTGATTTCCTGTTGACGGTGACTCATTATTGCGCCATAGTGAAGAAATAGGGAGTGAAACTTTTCCCCGGGTTTTGAGATAACGCTTTCTGATTCTTTGTTCTATACGACGCTGTGGGATTGCAAAAGTGTCGTTTAGTATTGAGATTTGTCTTGGATATAGTTTACATTAGGGGTGCGGGTTTCGTGAAATCTGTTATATTAATTTAGCTCAGTTAGGTCCTATTTAGTATTGGTTATTATTGCTTGTCATTGTGAATGTTATTTTGTCATTCTTTTATTGGTTGTTTATAGTGCATCCGTGTCGTTATAAATTAGTTTTATCGTTAGTCTTCAAGTTTCTGTGCTGTAGCAACATTTTACTCATATGTGGAGATTGATGAATACAGTTCGTTTTCTAAGGATCTCGTTGCCTCTTTACTTTGGTTGTGCAGTTACTAGAAGCTGGGAGATTGCGCATAATTCTTCAAGGCGGGTGCGGGTGCAAATAGGACTCCACTACAACAACGTTGAGTGGATTGGAATTCACGTTCCAACTTTATATTGAAATAAAACTAATATTCGATTGACCTACTTTGAAGAACATCTGACTACTATTCTCAACAATGGCTTCAAATGTTTCTAAAGATATTATTGATGAATCGTCTGGTGACATCACCATTCCTGCAGTTCAAGTTCGACAATTTTCATTGGGTCAAACAATAAAGGATGATCATCTACGCCAAGCAAATGACCATTATGGACAGACTTTTACGGATTTGAATAACATTTTTGCACAACTTATTCTGGATAAGCAAAATCAACAGAGTGTTACTTTACATTATCAGAAAGTATGCGATCATCTGAACAGTTGGAAAATTTATTTGGAGAATTATATTTTAAATAATGGACTTGATCAACATGTGGCAAAATTACACCTGACTCAGGTTGTGGATAAATTGAAATCATGTGACATGATTTATCGCCAATATTTGGACTCCTGTGTTAAAGAAGCCGACATCAGTTACATTTCTAAACGGTCAATATCTCATTCGTCGAAATCTAAATCTTCTTCATCATCTTATAGAAGACTGGAGAAATCAAGAATATTGAAACTTGAAGCATTACAAGAAAAAGAACTAGCAATACAAGAAGGACAACTAGCAGCGCAAAAGCAAAGATTAGCAGAGATGAAAGCAAAGTTTAAAGAACAACAAGCTCAACTGCTTGATGAACTGGCAAGTGACAGAGACTCTTCCACTTCCAATTCGGTTTTGGATGTTGACACCGTCATCTCAGCACGGGATGTAACTTTTCGACATTCAACTGAAGTGAGTCAGAGATCTAGTTCAGTTCCACTTTTGTCTAACAATAATTTGGAGAATGCAGGTATAAATTCTTACTTTAATTCGTCTTTTAATGTTTTACAACCATCGTATTATCCTTTATCTACTGTAAATGCAGTTCAGTCTTCAACCCCATGCAGTGTTGTAGAGTCTAACCAATTTTCTAATGCAAATATTTCACAGTTGCCATACAGTGCACCTAATTTTGTTGACAATAATTTTTCTGCCATTATACCTACCCCTGTGATTAGCACAGCTGTTATTACTGTCCCTGATAGGTTTACGGGGCCGGTGTATTCACAACCTATAATTTCTGTCCCACAGCGGCGTATTGCGCCAGCTGATACTATGTCTTTTGATTACAATAGGCCAGACATATTTTCTCATGTTAATGTAACTATGCCTGTTGTATCGCAGGCCCATACTAGTGCTTATTTTTCAACATTTTGTAGTAGTTTTCCACAGGCTGGGCCAAATACTATTACCACTGTTAGTAGTTTGCCTCCAGGCCCTGTTTATACAAACTCATCTCAGCAGATAACATCAGTGTTACCTCCCTTAACAAGACCTGTAGGACCATACGTTCCTCATCCTACCATTTCAAATGCCTTGTGCACAAATACTGCCACAATTCCATCTTTCATACCTCCTTATATGTCAAGCTCACAATTACCTCATCCTACCGTTATGAGACAACCTTCCCCACCTTCCCCTAACGATATCCATCATCAAGCTGCCAGCAAAGATGATTTGTACTTTCTGGGAAGAAATATTCAACAAGAATTCCGCTTGCCAGCATTGGATAAAGTAGAATTTGCTGGTGATCCATTAGAGTATCATGCATTTATAAGATCTTTCTATAACACAATTGGACGTCTCACATCTGATCCTTCTACATTGTTGGCACAATTGTTTGCTCACTGCAAAGGTGAGGCATATGAAGTAATTAAGCACTTGCGAATGGCTGATGACCCAGCACAAGCATTTCATGCAGCTAAAGACACTTTAGAATTTCATTTTGGCAATCGATCACTGATCATCAGCACATTTATAAAGCAACTTACTGAAGGACCGAAAGTTCGTGTAAATGACGTCAAAGGACTTTGCAGATTATCATCACAGATGCGTAACTGTTCTATTGTGTTTGACAATTGGAATGCAGGGAATTTACTCGATGCCCCAGCATATCTTGTTGCTATCTTTGAACGGTTACCTCCTAATATGCATACTGACTATGTCATGAATGGCACATGGACTTCATTCACAATCCCGTCATTCAATCATTTGCTGAAATTCATTGAGTCTAGAGCTCGTTTGTACAACACATTTTATGGTCGCACTCTGGCAGAATTGGCGACAAAATCATCTGGTCATAAAGGATACATTAACAAGCGTCCATCGAAGTTTTCTACATTTACCACTTTAAGTACGCCAAAACCGGAACCTAACTTCAAACAAAATTACAACAAAACTAATAACTCTGGCAAGAATGGCAAATCTGCTTTGTTTTGCTATCTTTGTAAAGGCGATCACATTCTGATGCGCTGTAACAAATTCAAAGAGAAGAGCATTTCTAACAGACGACAATTTGTAAAGGACCAGTCTATTTGCTTCAATTGCATGTCATCCAAGAAACATTTTTCTAGCAGTTGTCCTTCAGAGAAGAGGTGTCTAAAAGAAGGGTGTGGCGGACTTCACCACACTCTGTTACATTTGGAGCAGGTAGCCAAGCAGCCTGCGTTGCATCAGTCGCGTTCTAAGGAACCATTACATGCACCTCAAACTGAAACAACTTCTGTGAATTCTATGTCTGTACTCAACACTTTGTGCCCTGTTCGACTCATGGCTGTTGCTGTTGAAATACATTTACCTGACGCAAGTGATAAGAAGAAAACAATTGCTTTCTTGGATCTAGGATCTCAAAGATCATTTTGCTCTACTCGTCTAGCGAAAACTATTGGCCTTTCTGGTAAACCAGAGCGTTGCATGATACGCACTACAAATGGTGTTGCTGTTCATACTGGAGAAAGAGTATCATTTCGCCTAAATGGCGTGAATAATACTAACATTGTTGAAGTACACAATGCTTTAACTTTTGACAAAATTCCTGACGTCAGAGATTCATTGCCAAAGCCGGATATAATTGACAAATATCCTCATTTGGATGGTTTGAAGTTCCCAGATATGATGGCGATGTTGAACTATTAATTGGGGCAGATACCTTGGGTAATTGTCCATTTACTGATTCCCGAGTCGGACCTCCTGGTACTCCAGGAGCCTTGCTTACATGTCTTGGATGGTGTCTCTTTGGCAAAGATCCATCAATGAAATCTGATAATAATTCCCTGAATTATATTAACACTTCTGTGCCTATGATATCTGATGTACAGAATTTGCAAAGTGATGTAGCTGTGAATTTTATTTCTACTACTCTTCCATTGCTATCATTTAATGACACTTCATGCGATACTTGCATGTCACCTCAAAGTCTTCCAGAAGAAGATCACAATTTGCAGGAGGAAGAAATTGCATGTGATAATTCACAGACACCTACAATTGACAACCATGAACTATATTGCAAAATCATTGCCAAGCCGGAAGTGACAGATTGTCAGAGGACGGAAAGCAGCAAATTGAATGGTTGTGATTTTTTCTTTATTTGTTCCACATTGCATGATGATATCCTGGATGAGAGTGATGTTAACCGTGAAATTGCTGTCTGTCAAACTTGTGGAAATGATTTTGCTGATATGAATGCAGATCCATTAACAACACAACCTTCTTTGGATGATGAACGAGCTACACAAATTATGAATGATACTTTGAAGCGTGTTGACGGACGATTGCAAATTGGTTTATTATGGAAATATGATGATATTAAATTACCGTACAACTATAACATGGCTCTCAAACGTCTCATGTCTGTCAAGCGAAGAATGGAGAAGGATGCTGAATTCGCTACAAAGTACATTGAGAAACTGGATGAATATATAAAGAATGGATATGCTGAACAGATACCAGAAGATGAATTGGCACCTACCGAGAGAACCTGGTTCATTCCACACCATGCAACAAGACAATCGAAGTTTCGTGTTGTCTTTGACAGTTCAGCAGAGTTTGATGGAAAATCACTGAACAAGAATTTACTATCAGGACCTGATTTCAATAACTCATTAGTTGGAGTTCTTCTACGCTTCCGTTTGAACCCCATTGCTGTGTCGTGTGACATTCGACAGATGTTTCACAGAATATTCGTGAAGCCTGAAGATACACAATCTCTTCGTTTTCTATGGTTCCCTACACATGATCCCACAAAACCTGTTTCTCAATTTAGAATGCTATCTCATGCCTTTGGTACTACCTGCTCACCTTCTATTGCAACCTTTGCCCTACGAAAGGTTGCAGAAGATAATTTATCTAATGCTGATCCGACCGCTGTTCAATGCATTTGCTCTAATTTTTATGTAGATGACGGATTGTTTTCAAAGGATACTGTAGAGGAGACTTCTACACTAGTTCGACAAACTATTGATTTACTGGCAACAGGAGGTTTTCACTTAACTAAATTTTTAAGCAATGAACCAGAAGTTCTACAATGTGTTTCTGAGGAAGACAAGGCTCCTGTTGCTCATGCTCTGGAACTAGGCGATGATGCGGTGAGTCGTACTTTAGGATTGAATTGGAATGCAGCCACTGATCAATTTGTTGTTATCGTCAGAATTCAGGAACGTCCTCCTACTCGTCGTGGCATATTATCAATGGTGTCGCAGATATTTGACCCTCTTGGGTATGTTCAACCATTTGTACTTGCAGCTCGTATCATTCTGCAAGATCTTTGTTATGAAGAATTTCAATGGGATGATACAATTACTGGCCCTCTTAGAGACAAATGGGAAGAATGGTCATCTAAATTACCTTCATTGAATGGGATATCATTTTGTAGATGCTACAGACCAAAAGGATTTACACCATCTACTTTTCAGTTCCATGTATTTTGTGATGCAAGTTCTTTTGCATATGGAACTTATGCTTATTTGAAAATAATTGACGATGCAGGAAACATTCACACTGCATTTGTTAAAGGCTCGTCAAGGGTGGCTCCAAAGAAAGTTGTAACGATACCACGTCTTGAACTGACTGCAGCGGTTGCTGCTACAGAATTGGCGAGATGCATAAAATTGGAATTGAATGAAGTGATAACAGATGTATTTTTCTATACGGATTCAATGACAGTTCTTCGAATGATAAACAGTCGATCTGAACGTTTCAAAACTTTTGTTGCTAATCGATTGAATACAATTCACTTGCTTTCTCAACCTAGACAATGGCATCATGTTGACACTAAGTCTAATCCAGCAGATATTGCCAGTCGTGGACTAATGCCTGACAAGTGCCACAAAGCTGATTGCTGGTTTAAAGGACCTTCTTTTCTGAGAAGCAAGGAACCATTGAGAAATTCACATATTTCTGAAACAATTGAGGACTCTGAAATATGTTCTGAAGTGAAAGTTAATTATAATGAGATTTCCTACAAGGACAAGAATTCTACTATACAACAACCTGGACTTATGCTGTTGTTGAAACGTTACTCTAAATTTGAAAGACTTATTTCCTCTGTGATATGGCTTCAAAGATTCAAGACTTACATGATTGGGAAATTGCTACATCGTTCTGATTCTCCAGTTACTGGTTGTTTTACTGTTGCAGAACGGGAAAATGCAACTATAGATATTGTGAAACTTATACAAGCAGATTCGTTGTCTGCTGAGCTTTGCTATTTTAAAGATATGATGAGTTCGGGCCCTCCACCTTCTGACAGAAAGAGACTTAAATCGCCATTTGCTAAAGAACTTTTGCAGTGTAATCCATATGTGGCTGATGGCATACTTCGAGTTGGAGGCAGGCTTCGTCAATCTGAATTACAACCTGATCAAAGGAATCCTGTAATTTTACCCCCATATCACCATGCTACTAAACTACTAATTGATTGTTACCACTGTGAACATGGACATTGTGGAAGCAATCAAGTACAGGCCTATTTGTTACAAAAATATTGGATATTGCATCTTCAGTCAGCGGTGGCAAAAGTTCTTAGAGAATGCATGCCATGCAAGATTCGATCTGCCAGACCTGGTAAACAATGGATGTCAGATATGCCTGCTGTTAGGCTTTGTACAGGAAATAGACCATTCTTTCACAGCTTCGTTGATTATTTTGGTCCTATAAAGGTCAAGTTGGGCAGAAGCGAACATAAGCGTTACGGAGTTATATTCACTTGTCTTTCTACTCGAGCAATTCATCTGGAGGTTGCAGAGAGTTTGGATACCTCTGCATTTTTACAAGCCTTTTTTCATTTTGTCTCGCGACGTGCAAGACCAGCTCACATGTACTCTGACAATGGTACGAATTTTATTGCTGGAAGTAAAGCTCTCAAGGATGGAATTACAAATTGGAATAAGAAACAAATTGACAATGCTCTTGCACAAAAGGGAATTCAATGGCATTTTTCACCACCTCTTGCAAGTCACCAGAATGGAGTTGTTGAAAGATTGATCAGAGAAGTTAAGAAGATTTTGAGGAATATGCTTGATGATAAACCATTAACCGATTATTCACTTTGGTCTTTTCTGGCTGGAGTGGAATCCATCTTAAATGACAGACCCCTTACCCGAGTAAGTAATGATCCCAGAGACCTCCATGCCCTGTCACCTAATTCTATTTTACTAAGTAAATTAGATCCTGATCTACCCCCTGATGTTTTTCTGCGAGCTGATGAGTATAGACAGGGCTATAGACATGTCCAGCGGTTGTTGGATATATTTTGGCAGAGATTTACTAGGGAATATTTACCTCTGCTTCAGAAACGCTCAAAGTGGTTTCATCCCTCCCCTAACCTGAAACCTGGTAACTTAGTACTTATGTGTGATGACATACTTCCCCGTGGTAGTTGGCCAATGGCTGTTGTGGATGAGGTTTATCCTGATAGACTAGGCATTGTGCGTAGGGTGAAGGTACGAACCTCTAAATCTACGTTCATGCGTGATGTTAGGAAGATATGTTCACTTGAACTTGATTAAATGTCTGATTGATGATTATTCATTTTGTTTCTGTATATTACATTTCACATTTTTCCATACACAATTTCGTATTCATCATTTTCCTATTTGGTTTACTTATATGCTTTGTGTTCGGCTACTTCGATCACCTCTTTTATTGAGATAATTATAAGTCTAAATTATCTGGGGCCGGAATGTTAGATTTGACCTCGCACGCCTCACACTTTTGTCCATTTATATTTCTCTATTATATTAACAATCCCAGACGAATTATTTTCTATCTTTATTATCTTGATTTCCTGTTGACGGTGACTCATTATTGCGCCATAGTGAAGAAATAGGGAGTGAAACTTTTCCCCGGGTTTTGAGATAACGCTTTCTGATTCTTTGTTCTATACGACACTGTGGGATTGCAAAAGTGTCGTTTAGTATTGAGATTTGTCTTGGATATAGTTTACATTAGGGGTGCGGGTTTCGTGAAATCTGTTATATTAATTTAGCTCAGTTAGGTCCTATTTAGTATTGGTTATTATTGCTTGTCATTGTGAATGTTATTTTGTCATTCTTTCATTGGTTGTTTATAGTGCATCCGTGTCGTTATAAATTAGTTTTATCGTTAGTCTTCAAGTTTCTGTGCTGTAGCAACATTTTACTCATATGTGGAGATTGATGAATACAGTTCGTTTTCTAAGGATCTCGTTGCCTCTTTACTTTGGTTGTGCAGTTACTAGAAGCTGGGAGATTGCGCATAATTCTTCAAGGCGGGTGCGGGTGCAAATAGGACTCCACTACAACAACGTTGAGTGGATTGGAATTCACGTTCCAACTTTATATCCTTTTATGAAAAAAGTTAATTGTTTTTATCTAGCTTTACTGTTAATAAAACCTTTTTGCATTTCATACAAGTACTTGTAATTTTACTTTGGATCCATGTTTATATTTTTGTGAGTGATAGTATTCCGCTAAATTTGAGTTTTGTCAGTACTCTTAATAGTTTTATGTTCTGTTATTGCTTATATACAAGCATTTTCAATTTCTAAAATAACTTTTTTGTTTTTTGATATTGCTTTTATTATCAATAAGTTATACTGATAAAATTTCCTAAGAATGATAAACTTTGGACGAGTGTCTTATAATCAGCCACTTTCACTCAGCGAAACACAGGCACGTATCGCACATGGATCGAGGATAGGGCGATCACTAATTTAGATTTTTCAGCGAGTGTTAGTTAGTGTTTTTGCCGAAGAAAGATCATAGCTTAACCTAGCCATTTTTCTGATTTATAATGTACCACAGCCCAAAACATTTTATTTAATCCTATTTAACTGTAAGAACTTAGCTTCAGAATAGCAGATTGCACAAAAGAATGTTTCCGTATAGCAGAGGTGACCAACCAACTTGCGACAGCGATCGGCTGAAATCGTCAAAGAGCTCGCGATCGACTGATGGGTAAAAAGGTCATACGCAAAAACAAATGAGTACTGAATATGCAGGTAAAAAAAGCGAAAAATAAATATTCCTAAACCATAAATATTACATGACTGCTCAAACATCCCACTGCTACCTTTGCGAATAAAACTCATCACACTACTCTCGGAGTGAGACAATTAATTTCGCATAGTGCAAAAGTTATTGTACGATCGTACGTCAGTCAAGGCACGCGATATTCGGCAACTTCATTTCTTAACATCGGCAGCGGCGAAATTTTCTTTTGTTAAGTAATAATATGCTCTATCGGCCCTGGCGGGGCTCAAGTACTATATGTGTATATCGTATTTTGCGCGTGCGCAGTAGCCTACTGCAGTGCTTGATGCATTGGTGCATATGAAATTGCCAATTGGTGCTTCCTACATGGGATATCAAAATCAATGCACACCTCGACTTCAATCACAGCAGAAACTGGCATCTTGCTTGACCCTGTTATTTTTTGGTTATACATATTTGTGATGAAATTGAAGTAAAGCGACCTGATGTGGCCAACGTAGCACAATTTTCTAAAGATCTGACTCTGTTAATAGTCGCGTGACAAAGCTAGTTCTGTGTCATTTTGTTAGAATGCATCAGGATTTTTACATATTGTTTTCTTTATGTTTTATTTTAATTTTCCGAAAATGGCAACACTCTAAGATTTGAGTAAATACTAGTTCAATAACTGAAAATTCTACGTATAACCGATCGATCTTGATCGGTAAGTATGTTGATAGGCATTTGTTTGTCTGTTAGATACACGCGATATCTCACGAAAGCTAGATTGAATCTGCTTCAGATTTTGCAGGTGTATTCATCATATCTCGGACCAGGAGCCTATCGATTTTGGATGAATCGTGTCGTATAATAAGCGAGTTATTAATTAATTAGTGATGGGACACACAGTGTCGCTATGGAGTCATAGCGAATAATCCCAACCGCAGTTTCTGTTTTGGGGATCCCTAACTTTCGATCGATATTCTCGTTTTTAAGTTTTATTTTTTGCGAATAAATCGAAATAAAATCTATCTATCCGACCGTCCCAGCGTTCCGGTAGGTTTAGATGAAAATTCGCCCCCGTTCCGATAATTTAGGGCCGTTACGGTACGTACCGGTAGTTGAAAGAACCCCAGACTAATGGGGGCGAGTTCACTAAACACCGTCATGTATTTGTAGTTGGCGTGGCATAACCATTTTCGCATATGTCGTTTCTAACCCCACCTGACTACGTCATCCAAAAATTGAGTCAATATAACAACACAGTGACGGAATATGGCCCGTCAATATTAACGGATATTCGACCAAAACGTGCAGACGATGGCCCGAAATCAAGCCAGCTATTTCGAGGCGCAGTTCTCACCACTTCATGGCAGCTCCTTCCACGAACTAACCGCGGCAACTCTTCCCATGGTTTTATAGCGCTTTTCAGTATTCAGTAATCAGTATTAACGGTATATTCACAAATTAATGTACCAGATTTCAATTGATCATGCGGAATTATATCTACTTGAACCCTAACCCTAACCCCAAATTCATCAAAACTGTATCCATAGGAAAAAACGTTCCAACTTATAGGCCGCGAGCCGAGGCCATTTATCTTTCAGTTTCGTAGCGCACATAAGGTAACTACCTGAAAATGATTTTAAAATGTTCCTTAGAAATTTAGTAACAAATATTGCCTTGTTCCCACTTCCAAAAATTGCACGTTTCACAGAAAAGACGCTTTTACTACAATAAATATGTGTTACCATCTGTCCTATTTTCTCTGCTTTTCCGGTATCATGGGCCAATGAACGCAGACTTCTGCATGTCGTAACAATCCAATTAGTCAGCTGTAGGTGGTTCCCCGTGGTCGGATGAATATCAGATGTACTACTACTGCTCGCTTTTGCGTTGAGTATCCTTTCCATAATTTTTTCAGTTATTATTAGTTCAGTTATTCTGAGGAGGTGTTGAAAAGTATAAGTAAGATATCAAACACTTGTAGACTAGGCTATATCCCTACCATAAATAGCAATTTTAGTTGAGCACTAGCTCATAAGACGTTGTTAAATAGGTACGGTGCGGTAACTCCAAGAAAGGCTAGGCCAAGAATAATATGTCACAAACAACGATATTTTCTGGCTTGCATAAAATGTTTATGATTAATTTAATGACTCTTCTTGACTATTCAGAAGATTTATACTACTTTATAGGCCACAGCATATTTGGAAATAGAAATTAATGGCTGTTTCTGTAATGCACAGTGATGTGAAAGAGAAGAAAATAATCAATTTTAATAATGTCGGTTGGTCTAAATCTAAATTCATAGAGTCGACAAGAACCTGGGAAGCAATGATAAGTTATGCCGGAGTGGAAAGAAAAGTAGCCTAGCATTGGAAACGATTGAGAGGTGAGAAATCAAGTTGTAGACAGACAGTTCATGTTTTAAAATATAGTCTATAGTCCATACTCATACTGTCATAGGGCATTTCAGACTGTGATATATCAAAATTTAGTGTAGATATAGTCTAGTACTGGTATGCAAACGCTGCTGGACTGTAGTACATGCAATGAGCATATATACGCTCATTGAGTACATCAGATAAAATGCATTATGTTATCAAGGTTAGTAGTTAGTATTTAGTGATATTTTTACACTCATGCTGTTCCAAATATATGATTTTCTCCCACATTTTAGATACTGTACTACAAAAGAAAACGGCAATGTTCCACCTATTCGATCTAACGCAGGCTCTAATCCCTGCTGCTACCAGTGCTATAAAATGGATTAAACAAGAAGTCTTGAAGCGGAAAGGTATATGAGAATCATAATAGTTGCAAACAGCTTAGATGGGCTATTCATATTTAAATATTTTAGCACTTTTCTGCAATTGGAACTGCCCATCAAACTCATGTTGGAGACTTCATTGAGGTTTTCAATTCATTTTTTTCTCAACTATGAAGATCTTCTGAGGTTAACGAGGCATGAATAAATAAAGCTGAGGAATTTGTTTGTTCACTGTATGAAGAGGATATGAAGAATGTAAATGATACCAGGGCACGTCTATCAAACACTGGCAAACATAAGGATTATACTCCACCACCCAACAATGATTCACTGAAGAAGCATGTGGCCCTCAAATCAGTTCTTGAGTTGGCAAACTGCAAGTGTAAGAAGAATAGTCAAAATAATTTATGCGAGTGTGCCAAAATCAACTTAAATTGCACAGATTTTTGTTTTTGTATTGACTCCAAAAATCACAGTACACTTATAGACGAAAAGTCGATTTTCGAGATAGTGGATTTCGAAAACAATTCAGAAGAAAGTGAATTAGATATTGCAGTTGATTTAATAAGTATCATTTATTTGTTGTTTTTTTCGGACATTTGTTAGTGTCGTAGTCCTGTTTCTAGAAATAATATTGCTTTTGTTCAAATACATAACCACATAAACTAAAAAAAAGACTAATTGTAATATTTCTGTTCACTATGTTATGTACATATTGTACATTGATTTAATTTTCTTGACTTTTCTGGTAAATTTCTAAGTGAGAAATACCTGATTTATTTGTGTTTTCGTGCTCACGAAGTTAATTTGTGACTTCATTGCTTAAAAATAAATACGTTTGATAGCTTCTATAAAATGGATGTAGTTTTTTATGCTGTTCTTGTTGTAAACTGCTTGTGGTTATTACAAAAAATTCATTCGCTAATGTGAATCAGCGTTGTTGGTGTCGCTGCTTTCGAGGTCACTCGCGACTCCTGTCACACAATTGAAGTATTTTTTGTTGTTGGTTACATGTATGCCATATTTTTCGTAATCTACCTAATAAATTATGATTGACTGAGGAAGTCCGATTTTGGTCAGGCAAAACATTACAGGAATACATTTGTGTTAGTGTGCTGTAGGGCTCTCGAATTGCATAGTTCTTATGTATGTGTTGTAAACTTATGGTTATTAAATTTCCGGGAACCTCTTATATTCAATTTCGCATCAGGATTGTGGAACAAGCTGTAATGCGTTCAGTGTGTTCATTTTCACACAAAACTGAATAATTTATTTAGTTACCAGATGTGCGCTACGAAACTCCTATTCTGGGCGTTTTCAAGGCTTCGTCTCACGGCCCATATCCGTGGCGAGGATCTACAAGTGTTTAATAACTTACTTATACATTTTTCAACAACGTCTTAGCATGACTTAACTAATAATAACTAAACGGGGCTATGGAAACATTGGAAAGGCTGCCCAACTCAACGCAAGGTCGAGCAGTAATAACTAATATTCATCCGCTCGCTAACAGCTGATTCGATTCAATTGTTACGTCATGCAGAAGTCATTGTTCATTGCCGAAAATGTAGAGAATATAGAACAGATCGTAGCACATATTTCTTGTAGTAAAAGCGTCTTTTCCGTAAAACGTGCAACTTTTGGAAGTGGGAACAAGGCAATATTTGTTACTAAATTTTTAAAGAACATTTTAAAATCATTTTCAGGTAGTTACCTGATGTGCGCTACGAAACTCACTTTCTAGGCGTTTTTCAGGGCCTCGGCTCGCGGCCTATTACCCAATATTTGTAACCGTAAGGGACAGCCTTGTCTTTACGGCCCACCTGCCGTGGTTACGGCAGCAAAATTTTACCTGCCATTGGTTTTCAATTTGCTGCCGCGGTAACGGCAGCTTGTCATTGGTTTGTGACAGCTAAAAAGTCAGTCGCCATAGGTTTGGCCGTAGCGGCCATGGTATGGAAATACCGCCATGGTTTTGCGGCAGCTGCAGACGCCACAAAATACTTAAAATTGCACTTGGCTATTTCTCTCGTTTTCTTGTCGTAATAACATATTAAGTTAACTATGGCAATAATCCCGATTATTTGCTGCCGCGGTAACGGCAGCTCGTCATTGGTTTGTGGCAGCTAAAAAGTCAGTCGCATAGGTTTGGCCGTTGCGGCCATGGTATGGAAATACCGCCATGGTTTTGCTGCAGCTGCAGACGCAACAGAATACTTAAAACTGCACTTGCCAGCAATGCCCTTTAAATTCTCAACCATCCCTAATGTTTGTTTTCAAAACTGCAAAATGGTTTTTAATGACACCTCGTATTATGTAGCATATTCTTATCAGCATGTACGGTACTCAATAACTCAACTGTGGTACTTGTTCCTGTTCTAGTCTGCTATTACTGTATTAAAGTGATTTATCTAAGACTTGTCAATGGCTCGCAGTAATCTAAGTTGTGGGATTACTTTGGATCAGATAGATGCCTATTTTTCTATTGGTAAACCCGTCCCAAAGAGTCAAACTGTCCCCGGCTTGGAATTTCAAGGAAGGCCATTCGACCCTGATACCAAACAACCAATGAGAATCAAAGAAGAGTATACATACTTATCTCGTTTCAACAGGTGATTATATTTATTATTAAATTTTAGTTTGCTCACTCCTGTACATTATTGGTTATATGTCCAAAGATGACGGTAAGATTTGCCAAAGGTAGAATAGATTTCATCTGATTCATAGCTGTCTATCCATGGCTGTAATAGACAATAAGTTTATTTTGTCGTGCAAGAAATCACAACACAAATTCAAAATAGGAAAAAGTAATAATGCGTTACAGTAACGGATTTCATTGCAATTGACTCGGGGTCGCGAAGGACCAGAGATGGTCATCATAAGTCTGCGACACCAAGATTAAAAACGAGTTAATAAAAATTGAAATAAATGAAAGCAATAAGCACAAAAGGAAACTTATTCATTCAATACTTAACCAACAAGATTGATATGAATCATCATATATGATTTGGAAGAGAATGTAGAAGTAAAAGTCGGGGGAATTCAATTGATATACAGTAATTATAAAAATAATTCACCATATCATGTTACTTTGGTATTTCATCTTTAGGAGATTCTCATGGACTCAAAATATTGTAGATCTAATTGGGGGATAATATATTTATTACAATGTGTTGCTTACCAAATAATTAAAATCCCCAAAAATATTTTGTGACATATGCAGTCGTATAATTGGCATCAAATCTGTGGAGTCTCTCAACAGATCCTTTATTAATAAGAAAGCTTGCATGCACTAAATTTAGATGTTGAAATTTAGGGTTTTGGATCTGCAGTCTTGTGTCAAAATTTATTTCAACTATGAGTTAAAAGTACCTATTTTGCTTAACCCAGTAATCAGGAGTTAAATGGCCCAAGTCTGGTATTCATTCTTCTGACTCCACATTCCTGTTTGTGATAATGGAATTCACACTTCGGGTGCACTTTTTGATCCGCCGAACTTCTTAAAATACTCAAAGATTATTTAACTAGCAACACAAACTTTTGTCACAGTAGTAGATTTGATGGATTAGGTTATACACCCCTTACTGCCTTAAGCAGTAATCATCGACCTTGCAAATCACAACTGCTATAATTAACTGTAATGTGATTGATTGTAATGTTATTTATGACTGACCATTTGAGGAAAAATTACATTCTAGGAACAGAAATCAGCCTATGGTGAGCAGTGGTCCAGATTCTGTAACATCATCATTATATGATGGGACTGATACTTGCCAATCTTATTCAACACTTACTGGGGGAGATATGCAACAGCTGGAACTTGATACCCTTCCTGATCTTGCGTGTCTTTCCATCAATACGGCAGATCAACATTCTGCGGATGTTTCATACCTGGAGGTTATTGAATTATTACAGTATATATTACAGCAGTGTTCATTTAATTACTGTGAGACTAAATATCGATTGTTGGTATATACGCAAATAAAATGTTGTAATTATTATTTAATATGATAAACTAGTAATTGTGTAAATTTTGTATTATTAAAAATATGACTCAGCCAACCGACTATGGGTAACCCACATAAGGTGTTAAACAAAATTGGTGTATAATTAAACTGATGTTCGTTTAAGGTTTACAATCACTACAATTTCAAACACCGATATGATGAATCTCTGCCTGTTTTGCAACATAAGCAAGATATTCTTGACACAATACAAAACAACAGAGTGACGATTATACAGGGAGAAACTGGAAGTGGAAAAACTACTCAAGTTCCTCAGTTTATTTTGGATCAGCATCAGCAGGTTGTCATATCAATTCTGAATATTGAGAAGAAAGTAATATAAACAAACACCACGAGTTGTTTGCAAACCTTTTAAACTATTAGATCGGTACTAATTGAAAAAAAAAACTACCGGTACTTATACCTGTTATTTCATATTGTCAATCAAACTGTTAAATACTCAACAAGTCATATATAAAATGTAAATATGCTTATATGTTGTGTGGAAACAAGAAGTCATCATGAGTGACTGACTGTTGGGCCAAGTGTTAGGTTGGCTATAGGCTATTGTTTCAATTGTTTTTCTGATAGAGGGGAAGTACCGTACTCTGTACGGAATGATTATGTGCGCATGGAGTTACTGTGCTCCTTTCCATGTTAGATAAGTTCACTTAATCAATGGTCGTGGGTTCTTCACCAACCAAGTCTAAACATCTGCCATGCATACTGACTAGCTATTCGTATACCTGAGATGTTACCATTATTCGCCATAAGGTAGACCATCTTGTCAGTTTTCATCTATTATGTGATATATAATATATGAAAAATACTTTCCATTTCTCTATCAATTGTCATAATCTAAAAGGTGATGATCACGATGATTGTTTTCAGAAACACATGTACTGCAATATAGTTGTGACTCAACCAAGAAAAATTGCTGCCATGAGCATTGCAAGAAGGGTTTGTCATGAAAGAAATTGGCAGGCAAGATATCAATTTATTTTTTACCAGTATTTAACATTTAATTTTAACTTTCTCTCATGCTGCCATTTATAGATAATTCTATAGCTAAATTCTATGCCAGATATTCTCAATCACTGTTGCAAAATGCGAATGAATTTCTGTTTCAGGTTGGTCAGTTGGTTGGTTATCAAGTTGGATTAGACAAAGTAACTTCTGAAGATACCAGAATTACATACATGACAGTCGGTGTGTTACTGCGACATATTGTTAAACAAAAACATATGAAGAATTATACACACATCATTTTAGATGAGGTGAGTGGACAGTCATAATAGGCTACCTTGGTTAATACTGGCATTGAGAGATGCTTTGATTTTGATATTTGAGAAAGTTTTGAATGATGTTTGGGGACACTTATTTGGATCAATGTCTTTTGATTATGTTATAAATCTATTCTAAATGTTGTCTGGATGTTATATTTTATTCCGCCCTAACTTCATTATTTGATTTCATAGAAAATATTTGAAAACATGTATCAAGATTTGTATCTTGAAAGTTTTTTCGCAGCAATTCAACTGATCCTATTAACTTTAAACTCTCTAATTTCTTACAATTTAAGGTTCATGAACGTGACCAAGAGACAGATTTTGCATTGCTTGTTGTGAGGAGGTTGTTGCATCTCAACTCACAATCTGTTAAGGTTTGTACCTTTTATTCAATGCAATTCATTATGAAAAAATGATAATTATTTCACAGCAGCAAGACAGACAGCAAGTTTTTTATATTTCATGTGCGATATGAAGTAATATAACATATCGTATATCATTAAAATTCCAGGTTGTTCTCATGTCTGCAACATTTGATACAGAACAGTTTGCTAAATATTTTCTTCAGCCTGTTTTTGACAAGCCTGAGATGGCGCCGGTCATTACTATCGAGGTATGTGTTTTATAAAATCATTTAATAAGACTGAACCATTTTTAGTCTGGTTATATTCAAAAAGATACAGGTTGTAAGTCATGTATCATCCTTTCTGTAATACAGCTGTGCAATTGTAGCTGTATGCGTATTGATATTTCCGTTGGAAATATAATCTCTCTTGACCAACTTATTTTTTCCTATTATAGGGTCGTACTTATGAGGTTACTGAACATTTTCTTGAAGAACTTGAGACACTGGGACCACTTCCTCCACTAGATGCAACAGATCCTGATATTTCTGATGAAGCATTCACCCTTACAGCAAAATTAATCAAACATTTTGATGCATTAGAAGCCAAGGTAATCAAATATTTTAATCAATTATAATCTAATAAGGGGACTGGTGTCAAAATTGACAGCTCATTTTCAATTCCAATTTTGAATAATCTAACTAGGTCTATTTTACTGAAAATTGATGTTCATGAGTAATACATGAACTGTGCTTTCTTCGTTTTTCAGTTGTACATGACTGAGAAAAACTTGGTCTTTACCAGTGGTCTCAGAACACAAGGGCGAGTACTTTGATTTTTAAAGCAAGTTTATTCGAAAACCTAACAATGAAAAATAAGTGCTTTTTATGCTGTACTCTCCATGCTTCATTAATTATAACTCAATTAGTTTTTAAAGGGAAATTTTGGAAAAAGGGGATAAATGTGTCCATTTCTTATCGGTACAAAGGCGAAAAATGTCAATCTATAAAGAAGAATGCCTAAATTTGTATTTAATCATAGTTTGAACTTGAAGCATTATTCACCAAAGTATTTTAGTATTAAATAGTTTGTTTTCTTCATTCTTTCAAAACAGCTTTTTCAGTTTTCACTATTCTAATTGAAGCTATCATATTATTATTTCATGTTCTTGATAGGTTTGTGAATGAATGCATTACTACTATTATCCCCAACTGTTACCTTTTTTTGTAGGAAGTCAGGACTTTACTGCAGTTCGCAAATGCCTCATCTACTCCTCCACCTGTGGTTTATCGCGGAACTGTCTTGGTATTCTTACCTGGTATTTTTCACATTCGCGAACTCGAGCAATTATTGGAATATACTAGAGTTGAAAACAAATTAACGATTGTTCCACTACATTCAAGTATCACACTCGAAGAGCAATCTCAAGTATTTGCACCACCTAAACCTGGAATGAGAAAGGTAAGCTGCTTGTTAGTTAGTGTGAGTAAGTATTGATTTTAATTATTTGTGATTGGAGTTCTAGCGTCAAGGATTCATTTAATAGACTAAGGTTATGTAGGCAACTATATGTAATTCATTTTCAGGTTATTCTCTCAACCAACATTGCTGAAAGCTCCATCACTGTTCCAGACATCAAATATGTTATTGATTTCTGCCTCACTAAAAGTTTAATTTGTGATTTGGATACAAATTATCAGGTTAGTAGGAAATAGATAAGTGATAATTCTTAACATATCACTATCACTAGTCTACATGGTGTTGAACATTGCAACATCTAAAATCTAAATGGATTTGCTTAACATAAAGTTCTCATTGAATAGATTATTTTGTCTCCAGTTCAGGTATAACTTTTGGAATAACCATATTCGATAGTAGGTCGATCAATATTTGTGCTTATTTTCAACAGAGAAATAGCTGATTGTTCATTGTATCATCCATTTGCTTCAATGTCATCAATCCATTGCTTTTCAATCTTTCATTTGGATCATCTTATGTTTTTATGTTTACAGAGTCTGCGGCTGCAATGGGCTTCCAAGACCAATGCTATTCAGAGGAAAGGTCGCGCTGGTCGTATCTCGAATGGACAAGTTTATAGACTCGTTAGTGAAGACTTCTGGAATAACCACATGAGCGAATATGGAATACCAGAAATGCAAAGATGCCCGCTTGAACATGTTATTTTACAAGTATGAACGTTCTGGGTTGCAGCTAGGTTATATTTGTCATTAAAATTTATCAGCAGCATCATGTTGAGTTGATTTGAAAAATAGTTTATTTTCATATGTTATTTCATCAGGTGAAGCTTCTCGATCTTGGAGAACCAAAAGCAATTCTATCTCTAGCAATGTCGCCACCTAGACTTGAAAACATTGAGAGGACAATCCTGCTGTTAAAAGAGGTACTGTGGATGCATTTATACTAGAGAGTTGGACTTGCCGGTTGTGGATATTTGACCCAAATTCTGTACCAATCACCTCACCCAGTGTGTAACGGATTACTTAGCCAGGGCCAAATCACAAAGCTTATAGCTTCTTGTAATGGGCTTTCTGAGGAAAAAGGGTACTCTCGTAGTATGTGTACAAGGTTAGGGTTAGGCCATAATTTTATTCCCAATTTTCTAATTTTAGTTCTATTAGGAGTTCGGGGACTGTTTGTGTTAGCCAAGTGAATATACCCCCTGCCCATAGGCTTCTGTCCTTTAACACAACTTAATGTAAAATAGGTGAACAAAATTAGTCACTTCCATATTGGTTCTGGAGCGCCTGGGAAATGTGTGAAAATCGCAGTGTAATAAAATTATGGTACATTACAAAGAAGTCATATATAAGTATTGTTTTTATGACTTAGAAATAAAAAAAAGTATCTCAACACCCTGAAACAAATTTATTGAAAATCTTTGCCCAATCAATTGATAGGTATGTGCCGAGTAATTTTTTCAAATTCATTTTTTATTTCACAATCTTCAGGTTGGTGCATTGTCAACTGTTGGAAACGCTTGCAGACAAAGACATGATGGAGATCTAACTTTTGTTGGCAGAGTGTTGGCTGCTTTACCGCTTGATATGAGATTGGGGAAATTGTTACTTCTTGGTCTTGTATTTGGTTGTTTGCAAGATTGTGTTATTATTGGTGAGCTCAATTTGTGTGAATTCATCTTTCTTTTTTTGTTTTTGTAAATGAAACTTACTACAAGGACAATTTGTTATGCTTAATAACAAATTAAATAATACGATTTCATTGAATTTTTGATCAGTAAATAACTTCAGTACCACCCATAATCTATAGATTATTACTTATTGGTCTTGGTCGGTAAGTATGTTGATAGGTATTTGTCTGTTTGTTTGTCTGTCTGTTAGACCAGGGTCGTCCAATCCGTGGGCCACATGTGGCCCGCCGAGGAGTTTCGAGTGGCCCTTGCTGTATTTTCGGAAATAAATGAAAAAAAAAATTTTGAGTAAAACTGCTATTTTTCAAGTGATGTAGTTAATATAAAGATTTGATACAAAAAATTTGTTCATTTTCCTGAAATGCGCTCTGCTAGCCCTTTCAAACGAGCAATGAGTGCAATTTTGAATCGAAATTCGAAACCAACTGGAAGATATCGATACTTAAATGGTCGCTTACACACTTGGGTCTTCTACTACTCTATTTAACATTATCTCATCTGTGAGACAATCTTCTTTTATTTTATCACGTGGTCTCTCGTTCAAATGTAGCACCGACCAAATATTACTTGGACCTGCTGGGGGCATAAATGATAATTGCCAATGCTGTGTGTTTAGGCGTGGTATGTACATGCATAAAATTCTTGATGTTTTGGCAATGAAGCACAATATTGATGAGTTGACAACTTTGGATTGCTTTGGCGCTTGAATGACGTACAATTAATTACCAGTCTGATTTAAAGACTTGCCATTACTCAATTTTACAGAAAATAAGTCTCCAAAGAAAGAATTTCAGAGGATTCACAGAATGACAGTTTTAATGGCCTCATTATTCGTCAGCACTTACTTGTACAAGCAAGTTTTTTCACAGATGAACCATATCAAATCCCCTGTGAGATCACTAATTTCTGACAGTCATATGAAAAATTGGCGTCGCATTGCTACATCGTCCATTTCAGCGAATATTGAAAACTTGTCAGCGAAAAACTGTGCCGAACTTCACACCAAAATATCTACGCGTAGAAATACCGTTGTTGACTCTACACAGTATCTTCGTTTTTTATTGTTCTTATCATTGAGAAAGTTTGATGCGATGATTTTGTTTGTTTTTCCATTACATTTTAGTCAGTGTAGCAAAATTAGAAAATAATTACCATGTTAAGTGGCCCGCGCAATTATTAGTGAACTAAATGTGGCCCGTCGGCCAAAAAGGTTGGCCGACCCTGTGTTAGACACTTCCGTATGTTAGGTGATATCTCATGAAAGCGAGGTTGAATCTGCTCCAAATTTTGCAATTTTGCATGTGCTCTCATCATATCTCGGACCAGAAGCCTATTGATTTTTGGTGAATTATGTCGAATAATTAGCGAGTTATCAATTAATTAATTTTTAATTTTAAGTCGATAAGTTGGCGGTCTCATCTTTTCATCTTGTGTTGAATTCTCATTATTTTCGTATTATATTTTATGAATGGTATATTTTTGCAGCTGCTTCATTATCTCGTGGTTCGTTTCTTGCAACACCATATCGTGAGAATCTTGATGCTTATCGTCATCGTTTACGTTGGGCAAGTGGATCATTCAGTGATTGCATTGCTTATTTGAAAGCATACAGAGCTTGGGATCATGCTGTCAATACTCAGATGTTTCGTAGAAGAAGAGATGAATATGTTTGGTGCAAGAAGAACTTTATACAAGTAATTCCATGTAGCTTGTTTCATTTTCTTTACAAATTTTTTTTATTCAATAAGTGACCAATGTTCTCTGCATTTTCTGTAGAGATGACTTTTACTGTTCCTACTGTATATATATGTACCGGTATATTTATGGAACTCTTTCATTTAATTTTGCATCATTGTATGCATGCATGTCTGAATGATTGTGTATTGCATCATGTTACTCGTTAAAAATTGTTGCGTGTCTTCCTACTTTGGGACAGAAAGTAACCTGCTCTGTCAGATATTTGAAATTATATTTCTTATTTTCAAGGTTCGACGTATTCACGAGGTCAACATGCTTGTCAAGGAATTGACTGATCGTTTACGTGCTTTCAACATTTTATCATATGATAGAAATTACTGGAGGGACAGTTATGAAGATTGTGAACTTATTCTGAAAGTAATCATGCTACACCATATTACTATATCTTCCACAAGAACCACATTTTCATTTCACTGCTAATTTATTTTTTTATCATAATGAAGGTTGCGATGGCTGGAGCATTCTATCCCAACTATTTTTATAGTACAAGTACTGATGAGAAACCAGCTCTGAAAGATATTTGTGAACTTGATCCGCACAGAACTGTCATGATGACTGGACTTCCCGCAAGTTTGTTGATAAAGAAATTATATTATATAGAAAAGTCATATAATCATATAATAAATTGTATGCCTCCCATACCCAATTGGGAAAGATGAATATCTATGTCAGTTTAGATCAGTGTACTGTATGAAACGCTTGAATCTGGTTGTGTATAGATATTTTCTTATTTGGCTCAATTTAGATGTTAGATTTGTGTAGTGTGGTAGTAGTACCTACGCAATGGAATATTTTATTTTCGAAGACAGTATTTCCTCTTTTTTTTTTTTTTATATACATACCATTTTGATGCCAAATTTTTGGCATACTTCACAAAGAACCTTTTTGTATTAATATTATATGTTGTACAAAATTTTCTACGAATCATATTCAAAACATGCTTCTCATACTTTTGATATGAACATGCTTTTTTTTTTTTTTCTCAGACAAGGGACCATTGTATTCTGAATCGCTTCAGTTCGCTTTAAAAGACTGTGGTAAACAAAAAGCAATTTATTTTGATGGATCAAAAGCGTTTATAGAATTCTGCAATGAAGAAGATGATGACATACATACTGGAAATGTTCTGCCTTCTGTATATGTCGCCTGCAAGATGAGGTAGTAAGAATTATGGATAGAGTTCTAAGAAATTATATTTTATTGACAAATAAACTATATGTTTTTATAGAGATGCAAGGCGTAAGATACATGTAGTCCAAAGTCATTCAGATACTTCAAAATCATGGAAATTACTCAAAACACCTTTTCTCTACGACCCTATCAACATGCCTGACTTTAAATATGAAACTCCGAAACCTGGTGGAAGTACTTGGATAACCATTCAAGTCACGTATGTTGTAGCTGTAAATCATTTTTGGGGATGTAAAGCAAGCGACCCTCATTTCTCACTCCAACAAAAGCTCTTCAAAGAACTTCAAGAATCTGCAAAAACAGCTGAGGTTAGTTTGCTTTGATTTTATGTTGAAAGAAAACATAATTACCCAATGTTTTTGTTATTCTAAGCCATTCCAGCAACCATCTTATTTTGCAGTCTTGATGGTGTCTTCATATTCTTTTCTCACATTTTTTTAAATTAAATAAACAAACGTATTTAAATTTTTTTGTTTAATTTTTTTCCAAAATATTTGTTCAATTATCAAATATCTGCAATTGAGTTGGCTTTTACATAAGTTTGTCATATATCATGATCATGTTTGGTGACACATCACTTGACTATTGAAAATTGGATATTAGAAAACATCAAATTGCTTAAATACAGACACACAACTTTGACTTTTAAATACTGCTTATGTCAACTTGGTATATGCTACTATCACACTAGATTACCGTAGATATAACTATTTGATAACTTTAATAATTGTACACTAACAAACCTGAATTGAATTTTTTTTTTATTGTTTATCTTTATTAGGATTTATTATTTTTCAGCGATTCAGTACAGCTATAGAACCAGGAATGCTTGTGCTGGCACCATATAGTGATGGAACTGGCACCTGGCATTACAGAAGCCTTGTTCAACATCGTGTTGGTACAAAAGTTCGAGTGTTCTTCGTTGATTATGGTAATTCTGGTTCAAATATTGATGTCAGCAGATTGAAGAGAATTTCTCACAACTTGGCTGAAATTCCTTTTCAGGTTAGTTTGCTTTTGTTGCTTTTTTCTGCAGAAAGAATGATCAATCTACATCATGCCAATTTATGGGATTTTGGTCAATTTACTCTATTCGATGTTGATATGTTTAGGTCCTCAACTATTTGAATAGATGATTTAATACTTGGTATTTTAGGCAATTGAATTCCAACTGAAAAATATTCGTGTTCTTGCAAGTGTTGCTCAACAAAAAGGAAAGAAGTATTTGGATAATTTATTGATGAAATCTGAGAACAGATGTAATGTAAAGGTACTGTTTCAGAAATTTGTGAGCCTCACAAAAGTCGATTAAAGTAAGGCATGGAATGAATTTTGAATGAAATTGAATATTTGATTTCTTTTGGGCGTCCATAGTGGACATATTAGTTAACGTTTTTGACATGAATAGTACACTATGGAAGAAGAAAGTAATTGTCTGAGTAATTAAGCAATGAAACATCTTTGCTATCAAACTCAACTTAAGTTATTTATTTAAGTCTTCAAGTCTTTATTTGCCTATCTTTGAGTTGATGCACAAATTGTGTGTCAAAAGTATTCTTTCAAATTAATATTTTGTTTCAGGTTTATTCCGTCGTCTCAAATAGAACTAGAGTTGATTTATTTACTTATGATGATATGCATGTAAATGGTCATCTCGTTGAAAAAGAACTTGCAGAAAAATGTGAAGAGAACAGACTTTCCGAGGTATTCTCTTGCATGTTCTTTATAAATATGATAACATATTTGATAGGTTATGAATTGCTTCTTATGATTAATTCACAGTATATGATAGGCTTATGAGAGCAATGTTTAAATATATGAATCTGTACTGATATCGTCACTAATAACACTGGTGCTGAGCACTACCTCTACCTTTGCGGAAAACCCTAGCAATGATGCAAAGTTCCATAATTGCAAATGTTTGTGAAAAATAATGGGCCTCAGTTTATCACCATGTGTTTATTTGGTTGTTCATTAATCAATATGAATTAATTTTTACTTAGAGAAGTCATGGAGAGTGGGAATTAGCAGAATATAACAAAGTACAGTCAGAAGAACAATACAGAGCAATATCAACTGCTGATTGGCATCTTGTACCTGGGGAAGCGAGAGGGGAATTGATACCTCATTCCAAGAGACGAAATGCTGTAAGCTATTTTGCTATACTGAACCAGAGATGTAGGTACCGGTGATGATATTGGATTTAAAGAATGTGAATTCAAATTTTCATATTGTATTGCAACTAGCTTTTTAGTTATTATGAACTTTTTAGTGATGCTAGCATAGCTAAGTATGTCTAAAGTGTGCTCTTGGAATTTCAACAAAGAATTCTATTTCAGGTTGCTCTACATGGACCGAAAAACCCTTTTGAAATAGGTTTTTACAGTATGATAAATATTGGGCAACTTCGCAATGTTCGGATTGAAAGAGACAGTGTTAATTCGATTGTGATAAACCAAGATCCCAATGATGATCATAGGTATGTGTGAAAGTAATATGTCTTATTCTGGTATCAATTGTTATTTCAATTCCTATCCTATTTTAGTTTATATCGAAAAGCATTTTTCAACTTTTTCTGAATACTGTTTTAGGGATCTGATGGTTTCCGCTTGTGTTGGTATTAATGAATCAGGAAGCACGATGCTTGCAAGGTGAGCATTTTTGTTCTTAAATTATACTATTATACTCGAATTGATGACTCTTCATTTGTTTTATGGTCTGTTGAAAATGTACAGAGAATTTTGTTATTTGAAAAAGATCAATTTTAGAATTCAGTTTTGCTATAACTTATGTTTGTGAAATTTCCCATCTTTTCCGAGCTGTAAAACCGAATTTAATCTTGATATTTCCAGGTAGTTGCATATAGAATTCAAATTAATCACGAAAGTCAATTCTAAAATACCAAACTATTCAAATGTGAAAATCTCCAACGCCAATTCAGAGTCTGACATAAAAAGTTAATTTATTGCTGCCTGCATGGCATGCATGAACACTGTATTTTACTCACCTATCCCAGATTTGTTTTCCTTGCGTTATGAAAGATTATCAGCAGCAGGCCCTGTTGGTTTCTTTTTTCTTGTCCAAGGAAACATTGTTTGGTTGCATTTCTATTTTAACTATGCAGGAGCACGACTTATTTGCCAAAAATTTATGGCCTGCCTTTCATCATTGCCATGTTATTTACTCCCGTCATGGAACTAAGATGCGATAAACACAGGATGAGGTTGACAGGTGCTATTTGTGGATTGGGAGCTATGAAATCCAGGTACGGCTAAATGTTTGTATTTTATACAATATCAGTTAACCATCTTTTTTATCTGAAATCAATTTTTCAAAGCTTCGTATAATTTTTTGTAATGATTTAAAATTGTTTTGTACTACACCATAAAACTAGTTGTGTGTGTCCAATTTTTTTTGTGAGATATCCCTTATTGAGTATGACCCCCAAAAAAAACTCTCGAATATGATCCAGAAAAACAACCCATAAATTTCCCAATTACCTTCACCAAAGTGAAGAACATTTATTTAACAAGAAAACTTCTGTTTGTATATGATTGTACCCAGAAATTTCAGTAACTAGGATGCTTATTTGAGCTGTCCGCTGTCACTGTCATAACAGTAATATTCAAATCATGAATCTTTTTACAATCAGGATCGGAACAATATCAATCTTACCAGAACATGACATGGAACTCACATTCGATGTTCATATTTCAATCAAAGATATTATTGCAGTAGGTTAACATTTTGGTGGTTGATTTGATTGTTTCACCACTCTTTCTACATTTTTGCAGCAAATCTGTTTCATGATTATTTCAATTATATTTGCATAACATGATGACTGAAATGTTTGATAACGTAACATAGGTTGAGAACCACTGAATTGATGTCATAAGTTTATTTACATTTGTCTATAGTCTATACATTGAATAACTTTTACGATTGGTAATTCTAGAATGATCACTGTAGCAAATTGATCAGATTGAAATTTCTATAGCACGGTGTATGTCTCTCATTTACGAGGAATTTATAAACATGCTAATGATTAGACTAATGAAAGTTTTCACGTCTATTACTTGAGTCCGATTATATATTATTTCAAAAAAACTCTGGGATATGTACTTGCATTTTGATGTAGATCAACAGTCTTCGCATGAAGATTAATATGACAGTCGGATCGAGTGAAGATATTGCAAGTAACAGTCAAGGTACTGTTCATATCCTGCAAAAACAATCGAGGGCAGAAATATTGAAACTTCTTCATAAGAAACGACCATCTGTTACGCCAGACAATTTCCGTCGACCACATAGGTAAGCTATCTTGTTTTTGGAGTTTCTCTTCCATTTAGTCCTGTTCATGAAATACAACTTCACGGCTTTATTCAATTGAATTTATAAGTAGAGCTTTGTTTGCAGCAAGTGCAAAATAAAAAGAAAAAATATCACTGCTCAAGCCATCTCTAGCCCAGTTCTATTAAAATGTAGATTAGTGAGAACATATCTTTTGTGCAAAATCTCAAAGATTACTAAAGTTTTTGGGTACAATCACTGAATGATACACCAACAAAATTTCTAGTGTTAAATGAGACTTATTTTGCCATGTTTATTCTGACTGTGTAGCTGAATTAGATAGTTGCAAATTGACTGGTTGATTACATTGACTTTCTCTTATAATCAAGTAATTGATTTCTTATTTTATTCAGGTGGGACCAAGTTGATCCTCATTTCATTGTTCCTCATGAAATAGAGCATCACAGTGCAGACAGAAAAGATTTGTACAGATTGCATGATGCCATGATTCTCAATGATACATCTGCCTTTGACGATTTGTAAAAAAAAAAAGTCTATATACTGTCAAGCATACTATCGCCATGAGTCTCTCTCATGACTTATGACTTGGCCACTGATTAAAAGTGAATTTCTTCATTCATGATATAAATTATTATTGGCGATAAAGACTTCTTACCAATAGTCATGTATTGTATTTTCTGGCTTGCAATTGTGTTTGCTACATGCGGGATAAATAAAAGAAGAATTTGAAGAATGTTTTCGTTATTTTTTTGAACAATTTCTTTCAATCATGATTTTGAAAACCAATACTTTTTTACATCGGTGCAATCCATATTGTGCCATTGTCAATTTCTTTCTACATATTATTACTTTCAATTGTTATTATTATCTGCCTTATCACAGCCTGTTATTTGCCTATGTCACTGTTATTGGTTCGTCTTTTAATTTAGTTTCAATGTATCCAAATCACAGTCATGTATAAAAATACTTCTTTGAAGTATGCTGTGTTTTGCTACAGTTTACACAAGCCTTCTTGAAATATGGGGCGGTTTTTTATTTTCTTTAACTATAATATCTATTGGTGGATTTCGTTGGACTTTTATAAAGTTGTTTCAAATACATTCACAAACATTCTTTCACATCTGTGTGTTGTTTTGGTATGTGGTGTTGGAATAGTTATAAATATTTTCCTCTAGATGGGAGTATTGAGCTGTGGAATTTCCCTATGTAAACAAAGTACTTTTTCTTGAATTTATAAATTTGATGTATATTTCAAAGAGTGAGACAGTCAGGTATGCAGGCGATTCTTATGTCTGTTGTATAGAGGGATTGTATTTGTTCATGATGTTTGAAAAGGTAAATTTTGTTTGAATCTATACCTTCAAATGTGCAGTCTAAATCAGAATATGCTTTCTTACTCAAGCAGATTAGAAATCATCACATTTTAGCAAATAGGTAAAACTATTTCTCTGGCTGGGTTGAAGCTTGGCCATATCTATGTGATTTTGAATTTATAAGTCAGGTAATCAGAATATTCCATACCTAGGAGAGCAATCCAAGTAAAAATATGATATATCATTTTTATATTCTGAAATTTCGTTGATTCTGAGTATAGCTTTCTGTAGGTGTAAAGGTACCAGCGGACTGGTTGATAATGGTAACTTCATACTGAATAAAAAAGATTACCGGTATTATTGGTGAAAGAGGTTTAATTCTGATCAACAACAAAAATGTGCAGTTAATATTGTTTAAGAACATCTTATCTTTTTGTTTTATTGTTTGCACAACATCTGCCAATTATGCAATTAATTATGATTTGAACAACATTTCAATCAAACTTGCATGCAAGATCTTTAATGCAATAAATTTTAATCTATTTGTCAATTTATTGGACCAATACAAAAAATGTAAAACATTTGCATACTTAAAAAGACAAATCATCAGGGTTCAGTGGTGAGTTTTAAACTTCTACTGAGACTGTGAGAGGGTCCCACTCCATAATAAGCACATACAGACATATCATTATTTAATTTCCTCAACACAAATTGGTAAATAACTTATTAAAAATACTGTTAGTTCATTATCACATTATAATTCAATAAATTCTTTGTATAATTGCTATTACATTGTGTATTTGAAATTTTGATGAATTCATGATAAACTCGACAATTTTGAAAAATCAACAAGATCACCTTTTTTACTAAAACTTCATGGCTGTGATATATAGAATTGCCCTAAATATCATTATCTTATTAGACACGGAGTGGACATATAGCTTATTTTGCAAAAATGAATAATTTCGTGCAATTGTGTACCCCTCAGAATTTTAGTAGATGGAGATAGAAGTGTTTCCTAGCATACTACACCTTTTATTTGGTTTCACACTTCCTCTGGTAACCGTGATTATTCCAAATTTTACTGTACACTTATACACGCATATTCCACCCATATGTTGAACGTTTGATTGACATATAGAAATTGTTAATTCACTTATTTTATTTCCATTTATACTCCTTTGATAATAGAAATCCTATATATATATGATAAGCCTTTATAGCCTTTATTTAGGTCCATTTAAAAAACACAAATAAGTGAATAAATACAAAGAAAAATCAAAGTAAATGTAAATACATGTGGGCACACTGTTTTGGAGGAGTGTTCCCAATACCTGAATAAATAAAAATATTTTGATTAAATATTGGTTATTAAATGAAAATACACTTTCATATTAAAGCTGATTAATATTTTGCTTATTATCTTGAAGCATCATGCTGAATTAATGAATCTGGCGACATAACACATAAACAGAAAATATGAAACTACAAAATCTAATATTGTTAAAAGCAAAAACAAAGCGTTCTCTTCTTTTTTCAGCCAGTTATATTATATATAAAAAAAGAAAATGTATGAAATGAAATTGTGTTGAAAGTTATAAATTTCTGTGGTTTAATTGTTATTAGCAGATAAATATTTTGTCAATTAAATAGATTGCTAAAAATGTACGGCTAGATCAAGCTTGAACTGGGAATTACCACCTGCAATTCTTCAAGATAATAACTATATAACATCATATTTACATGGCTGTTGATTCAAGTGATTGGCCAGTTATTCCAAACAGTGAACGAGAGCCAGGACAGTATGCTTCAGCGCATACGGATGATGTAGATACTAAAGCTGTATCAGACAAATGGAAATATGAAAAGCGTCAAAATTATTACGCTAACAGCTGGAAGTCAATCCGAATGAAAAATGGTTCATGCCATTTTGATGGATGTACACGAGTACGTCAAAAAACTTTTCAGGAATCACTGTCACAGTATGGAAATGTAACAAACATGTTCTACTCCAAAGATTATCATCTCCACCTATGTGTTCCAGTCGTTCATCCTCACTGTGCAAATATAAAAAGATTACAAAGACTCGATCTGCCTGGCACAGATTGTCCAGTATACAGCTGCTAAACCTCGTTTTTATGTATCTGTTGTTTTCGTCATTTATGTTAAATCAGGTGAGAATAATTTACTCATAAATTCAAGATATCAATTTGTGTGCGGTGCATTTCGACATCCAATTGTTTGTGTTTCAATCGCATCTAATTTCACTCAATGTGAGTACTAGCCCATCCCACCAAGGTCACCTGTGTTGACATAGGTGAATCCCCTTATACATTCATAAAGATATGCTAGATATTAAATTTTATATGTTGTATTCAGGCTGTAACTGCTGCTGCCTGTTCATCGTGTCCAAGTGAATGTTCTTGCACTTCTGAGCCAGGAAACCAATGTTATGTTGATTGTTCTGGAAGAAACTTGAATTCATTTCCTTCTGGATTAGACTCAAGTGTTAAAAAGCTGTAATTACTTTTTTTACGTTTCATTCACGATCTACTTATTTAAAGTAATTTAAAAATTTTTACCTTGCATCGAATGTAAAATTTAAAAGATATCTGGGTATTTAATCACTTACATTGATTTGTTGAACAATCATCGTGTTGTTTGATAATAATTTAAGTCTGCTTGAAAAATTATTGTCATTTTTTGACTTTGATATTCTATAATTTTTTTCAATTCAAGTTCAAAATTTTAATATTGTGAATGGTCTATCTTATTGACATCATAATCGTTGTCAACTTTTTGAATTTAAAGTACCGGACATCATTATTCATAATTCATCACACAACAATTTCTTCAACTTTTGAATCATTTTGATCCATGTAGTACAAAATTAAAAAAAAATAATTTTTGATATATTACTGCAGAAATTTTAGTTTTTTAAATCTGTATTTTTGCCAATTTATTTTCAGGGACCTATCAAATAACAATATTGAAGCAATACCAGAAACTTTTTTTAATGGATTTTCTTCTTTGGAAGAATTGTAAGTTGAAAAAATTGCTCTGCTATTTTAGTTCGTGTGAATATAAAAAGCCTGATTTTGCTCTCAAGTAATCCTATGATGATGTATCAAATTAACAATCAAATTATTTATTCCTGTATTACGGTTTCCATAGTACAAATATGACAAGAAAGCATATTGTTACTTCTTGCTGGAGTCCATTTCACCATATTTACGAAACAATAGGTTGTGATTCTTATTGTTCAACAATAATTCGCTTTGATATTTTGACGAAGTGGGGTCGTCCATATTGTGTCTTAGTGCATTGATAATTGAATCGCGTTCTACATGTGCAGTGAAGCGAATGACTTTTTGATATCAATAGATTCTTGTCATAATATTTACATGATTGATGATATTTCTGATTAGGAGGTATATATTATGAAAAATCTATCCAATATACTCATCATACTATTGAAAAATAAATAAACAAGTCATCTTATTATGATCCAAAAATATTCTAAATGAGGGTTCTGTTTATTAAAACTATAAATTACTAAATGATTGTAATTGCTGCCTCTATAAATGAATAGTAATTGGTATTTTGTTTTCAACACTTTTCTCCAAAAAATATTATACTTTGTCTAAAGCCTCCATTTTTGCAGTATCAATTATCAAGCTTGTGGTCGAATGAAAGAATTAGGGTGTGTGTAGAGATTAGGTAGGGTTCAATTCAGTTCAAACTTTATGAGACACTGAATTTGATTGATGATAGGCATGTCTTCACCCAATAATTTTTATATTACCAATATATATATATATTTATATATGTTGTATTTCACATACTATCGGATTTATAAATTGCTTTTCAGTAAATTTTCCCACAATTTCGGTAGTAACAAAATTAGAAACAAACAATACATTTAATTCTAATTCACTTCGTATACATTTTGTTTCAAATGTTGTTTTTAATGAATCTAACTATACAAAATATTTGTAGGATTAGTCAGCTGGAGGTTTGTCTTTCATTCACCTGAATTAACAAATCTTATAACAAGTGATAATTTTGATAATGATACCCTAAACCCATCATTATGCCCCCAAATAATAAGTGTGTGAAGTGGCAGTTATTTCTTTTGGTAAAGGAATGACACTGGTGGTTGTAGAAAATGCCAAGTCAATTGAACAGCAAGTATGTTTCCATCTGCAAATAATAATAAACACTCTTCTTTATTATTTTCTATTTAAAATGAATATTAATGGGAGTTATCTCAATGCTTACCTCAAACTATAGATAAATACAAAACAAATTGAGATCCTGCCATAAATACACCATATTTTTTTTGTCTGTCATCGATAGTTGTTGAGTATTGTCGGCAATCTCATCTCTTCTTGTTCTCTAAATGATGCACATTATCCTATTTTGTTTTATTATTTTTTCAGATCACTGCATAACAACAACCTCAATTCTTTAACAAATTATGTATTTCAACAACTAACAAATCTTAATAATGTGTAAGTACTATTTGGATATATTAATATTTTAAAATATCATACTGTATAGCGGTTCTTGGAAAAAATTCAAAAATATAAAATAGCAATCAGAATTCTTCGAGATGTTTTAATTTATTGGACAATCAATATTTACAATATCCATGGCATATGGTGTTTTTTTATGAGTATGCCTATACAAACATCTTAAAAACAGTATTTAATTTATTAATAGACATTAATCTGAAACTGTAATTTCATTTATGCAATGTATTTTCAAATGCATTCATTTATTTCTTAGCAAGATTTTAAAATGTAATATAGTAGCAAATAACTTGAAAAATAATGTAGATAAAATCCTTTCTAAATCTATCTGGTATCATTTCTCTTGTTTTTTAACATAATCATACATAATTGTGTTTATTTTGTGTTCATTATTCAAAGTTTTTCATTCATTGAAATGTTTTTCGTTTGACAGAACACTTTCCGGTAATAATTGGACATGTACATGTGATATTGAATGGCTCCAACAGCTTGTAAAAGGAGAAGGTGAATTTATCACCGGAATCAACGTGCATGACAAAAATCAGATTGTATGTTCTAGCCCTTCATCACTTCTGCACCAATCCCTCAAAGATGTTGATCTGTCCACTGTGAAATGCGGTAAGTGTATAGTTTGGCGCTTTTTACATGATCATTGCTTTTTCACTTGTACTGGTTATAATACAAGGCATCATTTCTTGCATGAACACATCATAAATTTTAATTGTGACGTGCTAATACAACCTCTACAGGTTTCAATTTGAATGACTGTTGAATACATTGTAGGCTATTGTTTCGTTTTTCAACAAATTATACTAAGTTTCTTTATTTCTCGCTCTTATTCTGAACCAGCCTTACTCAAAAATCAGGCTTATTAATGACCAATGATGGCTAATTAAATATTTATTTTTGTGATCAAAACAATGCATGTCCTTAATTAGGCTGGTTACTTACTGATGATTGACATTTCCTATTAAAACATCCTTGAATCTCAGTGAAATGCTATATTTACACTCAATGTTTAAATGTCAAGTATTTTGTCTCGCTCTATAGAGTTTCGTACATCCTATTTTTATCACTTCCTTTACAATTTCTTTAATCCTTCAATAACTTCAGAAAGGGGTTAAGGGTGGGGCCTTAGACTCTGAAAAATGTAAACAAAAAGTTGAGTGTAGTTGTACTTTTATTATGAAAAGCCATAGTAAAGCAAAATATTGTTTCAAAAATTGAAGAATGGAATCGATGAAAAGTCTGTAATAAGTTCATTTTTGCTAACAGTTCCCCAATTAAATTTGTCTATATTGCATTATTTGTGACCAAATGAAGTAATCATACTGATAGATTGGCAATGCATTTTGATCTACTTTTACTTTTGAAGGGATTTGAATTAAAATGTTTTGATTAAAAAATAATCAGCGTAAAGACTGCCCAATTTATATTTATATAGTTAAGTATAAGTATAATTTTAACTTGTTTGATACAAAATGAGATATATATATATATCTGATTTTAAATAGCTTTTTTCTATATCAATGCTTAGCATAATTTTTATTGTTAATTTATGCTTTTGGAATATTTAGGATTGACATATGTTAGTGTGAGTGAATCAGGTAATATTATGCAATACATGAACTGAACAGAGAGTTCAACATCTATTCAGTTTCTCAAATTCGTGTAATAACCAAGGAATTTGAGTTTGTCTGCAAATGAACTCATGAACCAGATTCACCTTTTCATCATTGTGGTTTAGTGGGTGCGGTTTCACGGGTAACTGCCACATAGTATTTCCTAAATCATAGTTTTTTTTCTTGTCATTTTAAGTCATGGTTCAGTAACTGAAATTTATCGAGGATTTAAACCTTGACAAAAACAAATTGACTTTTTCTCAGTTTTCATTTTATAATATGTATTGCTTGATTATTATTTTATTATACAGTAATATGATAGAGCTTTAACAAATTTTATGTTATATATTATTTATCATGCATTATTGTTCATTATTCGTTGATGCAAAAGATAAACAGATACTAACAATTTAAAAACATATTATTGTTTGCCTAATTTATGCAGTAAATGATAAAAATATTATTTTTGTGAGAAAGTGTGAATATTAATAAAATGTAATCTTAAATGTTGAAATTATATGACCATACACAGTTACCATTTAGAAATGTTCAAATAATTCGCAAAAAAATATTATACGTTCCCATCCTATATTTATTTGTGTGGCACATATATATACAGAGGCACACATTTATCGAAACATAAAGTTATATATTTCATAGAATTTAATGAAATATGCTATGCATGACTTCAACTGTCCACACCTTATTTAATTGGCAAGACACTCCTTGTGTTGGCAATGGCTAATTTTAGCCATATTTCATCTATCGGTGCAAAAACATATGCTTCGTTTTTCAACTTGTTATAAAAAAAATTTTAAATACCCTTTCCAGAAACATCTTCGAATTATGTCGTATATATAGGCTTACAATTTGCATTATTCACTTACATTTCTTTCCATCTTTCTATTTAAAACGTAAACATTGAAATTCTTTTTATCAGCATCTTCATACATCTCTTGTCTTCATCATTCCAATGGAACGAACACTGTAATTTTATGGCAATATACTGACTTGGAATCAAGTATCACTGAGGATGTTGAATGCAAAAAACAGTGTCTCATATCTGGATACTCCTATGCAGTGGTTCATACAACTGTGGGTATCATTTTGAATTTTTCTTGTTAAATATACAAATTATTATACACTATTATAAAATTACAGTTGTGTGTTGGATAAACTGTACCAACTTATGTCTCTTGCAAAAATATTTGTTCTTATTTTTATTATATTCTGTTTAACACATTCTTTGGTTGAGTATAAAATGCTATTAAATCAATTGTTTTATTTTTTACATGTAGACCCATTATTTGCTGAAAATATTTTGATATATTTTGGATGTTTATGTATGCTATAAGCTCAATACTAGTTTTTCTTTCTATTTAGGAATCGATGTGTTTATGTTCATCGGGCACACTTCCTCAAAGTATAGGATCTACTTGTGATGATGTTTGTTCTGACACTGTGTCAACTGATGTTTGTGGAAGACAGGTAGATATTTTTAGTTTTTTTTTTTGGTTTTGAATAAAATGCATTATTACAAATTTTCTCATTCTCAAACTTCAACATTTTCAAAGTAAATGTACATGGAATTGCAACTTGTGTTGAGCTACATTTCATCAGCAAATCTTAATCTAAATTATCTTATCAATGTTTGATATGTTAATTTGGGAATGTTTAAAGTTGAAACTTATCATTATTCAGGTTGTTAACAACAATGTACTACTTGCAAGCATATCATTCCGTATAGATGGGTTAAGAACGTACTCTCAGCATGAAGCGGTAAGGTCTTTCAAGTCATTGTTATGTGGAAATTGAATTGACATAAACTATAAATTGTTTAAACAATAAATTTAGGGGTTCAATGATTGTGAAGTATAACCAATTTGAGCAAATACAGGATTTCCTCTATATTGCTATACATCCTGTTTTAATATTACAGCAGATGTTGAGTATGAGTGTTATCCAAATATGTATATATTTTGTCGCCATTTTGTTAGCATCGCTATTATTTGAACAAATCATAAAGCATTTGTTGTAATCTGATATCCTTGAATGATGCTTTTCAAGTGGTTTTTAAAAGGAATCAAGTCATATTATGTGAAGTATTCTGAGTTAAAATCCATTGAAGCAAGTCTTATTGCTTGACTATATCTGAAAATTGAGGAGGAATACATGAGAAATGTACTAATCTCACTTGAGATAATTTCTGCACTATTTGCCTATTATTCATCTTCTTTTTTCATGGACATTTTCTAATGTGTGGCACTGACATTTAAATATTATTACTGTAATAATAAATACTGCATTGACGCATGTTTTTTCTTTACAATGATTTTTTTTATCATTTCATAACAGATTCAATTGTCTGTGACTCCTGATTTCAAAGTTGAAAGCTGTCCTAATTTTATTTGGAATTTCAATGATTCCACTGTCGTCATTGTCACTGAAAAGTTTGATGTGATGCACAAATATGCGTTGGCTGGATCGTACTACGTCACTATCACTGTGAACTGCAAAAATGTTTATGATTCATACAGGTATTTTATATAAACTCCTACTGAATGAATTTTCCCATCAATACTCATTCAAGCAACATAAGCAAATAAATCAATCCTATTCTAACAAAAACTAAGGATGTATTTCAACAAGAAGGACATACTATGCCATCTATCTTGGAATAATATTAGATATGAATAACTTTTTTCACTTTGTTTATTTGGTATTAAACTTTTAAATGTTTATTTATAAATTGTATCATCCATGTTTGCAAACTATGTAAATCAAATCAGTTTTAATAATTGATTTTGATATAAATTTTAATAAAAAATATATAATGACGAATTCAAATTATTGAATATACTGCCCTTTTAGTAAAATTTTTGATTTCACAGTGGAGTTATGATTTAGTCGGCAGATGTAAGGAATTCAAGTTAAATGCATCAACGTTTTGCTTTAAAATAGAATTCTAAAATGTCAAACAACCCATTTAGCTCCTGTCTTGTATATATAAATTATATAACAGGTGGTTATAAATCACTTGTTAATTTGTTACTTTTTTTAGTATAATGGTTAATGTTGAGGAACCAATTGGTGATGTTAGTCTACAATGCAATAAGGTTATCGAATTAGGTGAAAGCATAAATGCCACAGTTGATGTACAACACGGATCTCAGCCACGATTAATGTGGAAATCCTCATTGAATGGAACAGTGGAATATGGTATGCTGTAGCCTGCAAAAAAATTATCAAACATTTCTAAAGCAATGATTTGTTATAAAAAATTCAAATTGTAATTTTGCAGATGAAACATTCCTACCAACTGGCTCCAGCTTTCTAGAGTCTTTGCAGATTGGATATATTTTGAAAACTGGGCCACAAAATTTGATGAATGCACAAGCTTCTTGCCAAGAAAATCAGGGCAATCTAGTTGTAGTTGACAGTTCAACAATATCAGACTATCTTCAGAACAATCTCATTGTCGATGCCGTTGCGAGGTAAATTATTCCACAGAACTAATTTTTTTTTTAATTTGTGATATAATGAAAAACATTGCTTTGCAATGAAACCTTTTGAGTGTAAAATCATATTCTCTATTTTTATTAAAAGTTTTAGAATAGTTTTCATGCATCTGGTGGATATATAGTACGTTTTTTTTTCAAGTGACAATCAACTGCACTTAATTCTGGATTTGTTTGATTGTACTTGACAACATTATTTTGGCTTTAGTTTATGTTAGGTATTAGGGATTTATATGGAAATATTATAGAGTTTACCACATTAGTGTTTGTCTATTCTTCTTTTAGTGCCATTCCTCAGCATATACAAGTGACGTCAAGTACTTTGTTGTTTTGACAACCTTCCATTACCTATTAAAACAGATATAGATATATTAAACATAATAGGATTAACCCGTTGTCTTCAATTTCAATTGATTTAACATCCGTTATGGCAGATACTCAGTTGGAAATCAGTGTATTAATCATGCAACTTGTATTCAGTTTATAAAACAGTACAATCCTAAAAAAGTCTTATGCCCAAGTTTACAGTCTATCATACTGTGAAAGTCTGAATTCCACCATTTTGTATTTTAAATTAATGGTTTTCAAACAACAGTTTGAGTTATAATAACTACATCTTCAAACTTTCCAAATTTTCTACTCAGCAACAATTCAGCAAAATAATCCATATTTACACTGTGTCCAAATATGGTTCATTCATGTCATTGCGGAAGAAAGAAAAGGATTATTATTATATTAATAGGCATTTGGTACAGATGAGATAGAAAAATAAATGCAAAAATTAATTTTTTTTGTAATATCTCTTTGACATGATTAATCCTGCACTTTTTATTACATTGTTTATTAATATAATGCTTTGCCTGGCTTATATCATTTTAGTGGAAACAAATTATTCTGGATTGGTGTTGTGATTGATGATGTATTGGGAGGAACAATATTCCATGTAACACAACAATCAGTTTCTGGTTCGATGTTTTCAAACTGGGCTGTGGATCAACCAAATCTTGGAGACGCCTCAGCTGTAATTAACAAATTATCATTCATTTCATATCTTTTTGTATGCTATAAAAATAAAACACTAACGAAGGCAATCTAATTCTAAATGATAAAGAATTAATATTCTATATTTATTAGTGCCAATTACAGCAATTGTAAGTCTTTCTTTTCCACATGAGAGCTTCCTAAGTGTCACTTATGTTGAAACTATCAAGTGGGTTATCAGTGACACACATATTGAAATAATACAAAGACTTCGCTTAAACATAAAGAAATTTTCAAGAATTGTGCTCATTTTCAAAAGCATAACATTGTTTATTAAAGGAGTTTTCATATGACATCTCAAAACATACTAATAAGAATGGAAGCAACAAAATGGGCATTGCTTCATATTTAATTATTTCATAAATGTATTTATGCCTATTATTTACTGTTGTGTTTTAAAAATAGTTGCTTATAGTTTGTAATTCACCAGTTTACAAGATTCTCTGATCTTTTTTATTCTTCAATTTAGAGATGTGTTGCTCTCAATGCAACAGATGGCGGGAAATGGTACACACTACCGTGCACGGATTCTCTGCCTTACATATGCCAGTATCGAAGTCCAGGTAACATCGTACTACCTATGTACAAAATTATATTTATGTGGCAGTTCTGAAAAGTTTTATGTTTTAGTATGAACGGTTTATATTGTGATATCGAGAATATTATGGTTATATCTATTGATCAGTGGAATTTGGAAAAAAGTATAAAAATAAATTTTGTTTTATTCAAAACCATTTTTCATCAGATATTGCCGAAGAGCCTCATCATTATATATCTGGTTCAACTCTGTTTGGAAGTTCCACAACATCAGCGCTTGAAAATTTAGTTGAATCTGCCCCGACCTCAATTTCCGCGAGTGAAAAGGTAAGTGTAATGGATATTCAAAACAACGGTATTTTAAAGGAAATCTGAAAAAATTGTAGTTCATTTTTCTGCTGACAAAAATAGTTGCCATTCTTTAAAAATATTTTGGTTTTAGGTATACACTCTACTTTTTCCTGGATTGTGGGTTTATCATGCTGGAACTTCCACAAGCTGGGAGTTCAGTGGTTCATCAACATCTGTTACAGCAATTAGACTTCAAATATTCAGACCAGTATGTGCTTCTGGCTCACAACTAATCCGACCAGGTAAGTGTTTTAAGTCTGTCAAGTGTGCAAGTTTTCATCCTTAGTCTTAATTGATAGTATTCACTATTATACTGATATGTATTTCCGAGTTATTTGGATCAATAATATGTTTACCGATATATTGTAGGTTTCAAATACATTAAATATGCTTCATTTTGGTAACTGTTATAAATCGAAACTTAAGCATTTTTGTGTATGTTTTTAAGATGAAATTCCCAAGATCATTTTTTCTATTTAGTCAAAAATAATTTTGGTCATATCTAGTGGGTTCTGCTAAAAGGATTCTAATTGCTAATTGTGTTTGAATCTAAAATTAAGATTCCATCCTTTATCAAGATTTTGTGTGAATGAAAAACCCAGGGGGAATATTTGGGGATCCATAACATTCTGCGAATTGTTAAATAAGTCCAAGTGAAAATAAATTTATTTGTTCTATAGGCCTATCCTTTACATTGAAACAGAAATATCTGAAATGCCAGTCATTATAATTATTAATTAAATTTTCGGTTCCAGTATCAATTCCCAATACCGGAGCTGCTTTTTGATCTTTGTTTTTTGGTAAACGCATTGATTTAATCAAATATAATTAATATGATTTGTGGTTCATTATGCCTTTCTGATGCAATTTATATAAAACACAGCGGTTCTTTTGATGTCATGATATCTGATGTTTGCGTAAATGTAATGTCGTAATTGTTGTGTCATCACTACGACCCAAACCATAGTGTTCGGACTCGTGTGAGTAGTGTTAGGTTGCACGGTGACGACCGGCAGGTGTGAAAATACAATGGTTCTTATTACCACCTGTCTTATGTCTGACACTTTATTTCACACCTCTGGAATCTTTGTCCAATAGTTTAACCTGTTTATATCTCTGATTAGAGTGAAACAAAAGTAAGCGGCCTCTGCCTGTGAAAATCGAATATATGATTTTTTTGTTTTGACCCTTCGAACTTGGGTAATAGATGAATACATTTATTAAATATGCTTGTTTCAATGTTTGAATACGGCTCATAAAGTTTTTCTGCCATAATTTTCTTAGGAACTTCTTCTGCCTTTTGGGCTTTCTTCCACCTTACTGTTACCCTCACAGTGTTGCATTGTATTGTATCTATTCTTGTGTCAGTAATGTAAATGTATATCTCTTAAATTACCAATGGTTTTCCTCTGTCAGTGATCTTTTACTTTTATATAAAGATTGTTCTTGTACTTGGTCTCAGAAAGTTAATTCTGATATGTACAGTTGCAGTCTTTATTTATTTTCACTAAAGTTCGAAAAACTATTAAACAGGGTAGATAGTTCATAGAAGTACACTACATGATTTAGTATAGCTTCCAAGAATAATAAAACACGGCATAAATGTCTGCTGCTTACTTACATAAAAGCCTATTTATACCTATTTGATTCTTTTTGAAATAATAATATAAAGAAATTCATGTAGGTTTTGTCTGATGTCTGGAAAGAGTAGACCCCTCCCATGAGCAGCATTATCTGGGTTAACATTCAACAAAAGGGTTGACGTGTCGAGTGTCTCATTGAAAACATTCCCTATTACGTTCTTCTATTGTTATTACAAGGGTTTTGTCACAGCGCAACGAAGCTCTTTCAATTTCACTTCTAACATTCATTTGTTATCAAAAGTCCACTTTGGTTTATATCTTAAATATTTCAACTAACTGAAAAGTAAATAAAATACTACTTCACCATCATATGGCAAAGTAAATGAACTTTTCTTTTATTCATTTTTTATTCAACTAAACTAACGTTTTTGGAAATCAAAGTTTATTAATCAAACACAGAATAAATGGCGCCTGAGCTCTTTTCAAGGTATTATTCCTTGTTTGCTTTAGTTAAAAAGAATTAGAGATCTTTCTCAAGAAAGACGTTTATTGCCACATCCTTCTCATGTGTTTCTTGTGATGTATTCAGCTTAATATCTGTATACATAATGATTATTTCATTTTTTCAAATGCGGAACTACTGTTTTGATATACATTCGTACATAAAAAATTATGATGGTTTTACTCTATAAATTATCCAGTTATGATTATGAATACCAATCCATGTATTGTCAATACACTATTCCTTATTCACTTGATATTCGTTTGAAATTTACTACAGGTTGTTCGTCCTTTGGCAATTCATATTCGACTTGTGGAAGTGCTGTTGAATTCAATACATGCATAAAGAAAATAACCCCATGTGAATCTGGACAACAACTTTGTCCAATAACTAATTCATGCAAGGTATGAAGTGAAAGTATTTATTCAATAATATAACTCAATTTGGTTACCTCCCTTTTCATTTTGCAATACCTGTCTTTTCTTATAGCTATATCAAGTCATTTGTCTTATCTTACAAATGCATTTTGAAAACCTTTGTTGTTTCGTTCTTTTATTTATATTTGTAATCTCTTTGTCAAACATTTATTTTTCAGGAATTATCCGAGCCTTGCAGTCATTATGCTGAGAATGTTACCAGTTCCATACCAACAGCAGGTATCCCGTCTTACAAATTGGTCGGTGAATATGTTGTCAGTTCTTCTTTGAACAATAACAAAATTTACCAGGTATAGTTACAGTTTTATATATAGTTTCGAATAATATACATTCTGTTTTGTTATTGTAATACATGATAAGAGTTTCAAGTAATTCAACATTCTTTCTATAAAGCTTATTGCACAAAATGGTGAAGAATTGAAAATGGATGATGTAATTGGAATTGCATTCAGTCATTCTATAACAGATCACAACAGCATTCAACTCACTGATTTGCCCTTACTTTGTCAGTCAACAAACTTGAGTCTGTAAGTTTATTATTTTTGATTGAGAATCAATGTTACACAAATAATATATTCAGTGTTGTTGAAATCTTCAATATGTACTGATTTAGATTGATGAAATGTTGAAATTCTAACTATTATAACAATTCTTTCATAGATTAAGTATGCCAAGTTTTATGAGCAAGAAAAATAAATCTTTTATATAAAGATCAGGAAAATTGGTTAGTTGTATTTTACAATTTTTGAAATATTCTTTATTAAATTATTTCAGCTGGCGTCAGAATGCTATGTTGGTTCAAACAGATTCTTGGACAACTAAAAATTCTAACCTTGATACATCAACAAATAACTGGATTGAGTCTGTATGGTGTGACATAAGAATGCATTATAGTCATCGATCTACAGGATCAATTCCGTCATCAACATTCCTCACCCCGGTTTGTTCACTCTAGTACTACATTTTACTATCAATATGTCAACATCAACAGGCTCTCGTAGATGTAGGGTTTATACGCAAACTTAGTGTTTCAAGAAAGCTGATTATTGTTTTATTCCTATTTTCTCATATAGAGCGAAGCTGGAAATTTAACTTTCATTGTACAAGCATTCAACAATGTATCTCAATCTGATTCTTCTTCATGCAATGTAGAAGTGAGAGATTTGGTTAAAAGTGCAAAGTTAATATCACCTCCATCTACCGGTACAAGTCCTGAAGGTTACCCAATTATTGCTGTAGAAGCAGGTACAACAGCCAAAATTATATTAGAAATTGAAGGCGGTGGGTCAAATGTGGAAACGCAATTTGAAGGTGAGACACTTTATATTACTGTACTTCAACTTAATTTCTGAATATTGATTTTTTTAAATTTGAAAAAGGAAACCAACCAATGGTTATTTCCTGTCTGTTATTGTTTTAGAATAATCAAACAACAATAGTTTCTAGTTTTTCAAAAGTGTTTAATTGTATATGTGTCACAACAGAAGGCCTCCTAAATAAAATAAACCTTTTTACAATATTCAATATTACAATTTTACAGGTATCGAAGGCAGGAGTGGTTTGCTATCAGAATGTCCTTCAGAAATCATTAAAACATACACAGAATGTACGACAAAATCTACCGGGAACTTGAGAATCACAGCTACTGATATCCCCATAACTGCAAATTCATCTTTGATAACGGTATATCATTTCCAAATTTGTAGAGTGGACTAACCTGTTACTTTTTACACTTGTGTTGTTTTTTGAATTCATGTATCTAGCAATTCTGCTTTTATGTTTGACTCTGAGTATAAAATTTTGATCCATTTACTTTATCATGCAAATTTATAGACATGCGTGTATTGATCAGTATGTTTTGTTTTGTTTCATGTTTCATACATATTTTTTAAGCATTAAATGAATGAATACCGGTACTTATTTTACAGGCTACTGTGAGTAATGCGTATAGTTCCACTGGAATAACAATCAGAGTCACAACTGAAATAGCAATCACAGGACTTCGAATTTTGCCTGCTGCTACTACACGAGTACTGGCCAGCATTCCTCAGGTGAGCTATATTTCTGGAATACATAATGTATTATAGTTGCTATTTCTTATACATTCATTCCTGGATGTAGGATGCAAGACCTTTAAACATCGATGATTTATTGCATATTTTATGTAGCTATTTTTATAAATAAAATGAGAATGTGGACAACTCTCTCCCATTACACATTCATTGTACATGAGTATTGATTAACATTCCAATTATTGCATCCAATTTTTCTCAGTAGATATGGCCATAGTTAACTTGTCGAACTTTGAAGACCATTGTCTGTTTTTTATATTCAGGTGTTCACAGCAGAGGTTGACACAGGAACGAACATTGTCTATTCATGGGTTGTTGATGATTTAACTCAATTCATATACACCAACCAACAATATAATGTTTTGTTTCGTACACCTGCTGTATATGTCCTATCAGTAAGTTCTTATGGTTATATTCGTAGCATAATGTTCCTCATAACCGAGATCTTTGTGGCAATTAGGGTATAAACTGCTTCATAGTCAAATCATGGCCAAATGGCTTTATCAAACTTTTAGTCATCAGTGCTTGCATATCCATGGCCTTATGAAATGAGTTTATTGATGTGATTCTTATACATCTGGTCGGCATCTTCAGATAAGTAATGAAAATAAGTAGTATTTTTTAAAGTTTATAAAACTCTTTTTCATGTTTGGTTTTTGGTTGAAAATAAAACCGCATCTTTTCTTTCTAATTTCTTGCAACAGCTGCATTGAATTAATGTTGTTCAATTGAATCGTTTTTTTTTTTCAGGTTCAGGCAACAAACGGATTGGGATTAATGAATACATCAGTGACATTGACTGTTGATGAAATGAACAGACTTTCTAGTTTACAATTTGTTGATGCTCCTAGTCCATTTATCGCTGAAACAGGTGCAGATATCGAAATCAAAGCAAAGGTATCATATGACAAATAATATCATTATACATTTTATCTTTAAACGTTCAGAAGCCTGATCTAATCATATTTGTATACATGCACATTAATAGTTTATAAATTCTAAATTAACTTGTTTACGATTAATTATATTACAGTTTTTGGTTGATATCAACATCAATTATCAAATTGAATGGACAATCAACAATGTGGCAGAGACAGGTGCTGTAATTAATCAACCTCATATGGGTGACCCAGATCCTGATCCAGATATAGAGAGAGTTTATGGTACTGACTCTAAAAATGCATCATTTCCAACTACTGGTGAAAAAAGCATCAAGGTAAATGAACAAATTTTGATTCAATTCTCTGAAAATTTGTTTTATTTTCCCAAATAACTATCTCAAGCAGTTTATTTTTTGTCTATGCTGCAAATGTAATTAATGCAATAAGACTATCTCAGATACTATTGTATATGGACAATATATTCTATTAATATTATTGCTGCTATTCACTTGTTTTTCATTTTCAGATAAAAGTCTTCAATGAATATGATTCCATCTCTGAAACAATTACAGTTGACATCCGATCCCTGCTCACTGGTGTTGTGATAGAAATGACATCGAACGTGCCTGCTGTTGGTGACGATCTTCAGGTAGCAGAAAATTTTTATTTTAACCTGACTATTAAGAATGTAGAGACATGGAATCTGTGAATCCATGTTATTACTTCCATATCAAGACTGTTCCAATGGCTGTTTCCCCGACCCTTGACACCAGAAATATTCTTCTCATATTATATCACTGCAAATTTTATATAATTATTTCGAGACTGCTTCCATGAGTTGGTGCTTCCAGATTGGTTTACTTGTTTCATCACCACTATTTTAATTAAATATGTAACAACCTATCGATTAAAACTACTGGTAGCTAATTTTAGCCTAGTCTATCGTGCAGCTTTTTCGAAAATTGCAGCTAAACTAGAACTGTACAGATCATTTTTGGAGACCCAACTAAAAACTACCCAATAGCTGGCAAAATCATAAAATCGAGCCAATATTTGAAGCCATGCTTGAAAATTCGCAACATATTATAACAGTATATATTTCTTTAACAGTTCAGAGTATCAGGATCACCCTCAACATATGGTGCTGTATTTACTTATGACTGGGGTGATGGAACAACAGATCCAGATTCTAATCAAGGAACAATAACTCATAGATATTCTTCTCCCGGAACATACACAGTAAACATGACTGCAGACAATAAATTAAACGCAATGTCAAATACAACAATGATCACTATCTATGAAAGAGTCACAGGTATGAATATGCATAACCTAATCATAAATAAATCAGATATAAAGACTGAATTACCAGGTTACAGTCAATCTTGATAATTTATTTATTCTGAAAAAATGTCCGATAATTTCTTTGTTCAGAATGTCTTTTGTTGGCTACATGTTGTGTATTCATCTATTTGTGTCTTTTTCAGGCCTTACTCTTACGTCTGATGGACCTACTGAGATTTCAACATCAACTGTTTTGACTGCTGACATTGTCACTGGGAAAGCAAGTGCTCTGTTCTCATTTGATTTTGATTCGCTGCCATCCACTGATAATGTTACAGACTTGTCATATACTGTGATCTACCCATCTTTGGGAAGATATAATGTATCAGTTACGGCCACGAACCCCATCAGTTCAGAGCAGAAGTTTCTTGAGGTAAGGTTCTGTTTTGAGGCAGATGTAGTGTATAATCTTAATACTTAATAATAATGAGCTAATTCGACAACCTATTTTCTACAACTGATTGCCTTTTTTTCCATATTTTTAGTTTTCAAATGTATTTGCTACAATTTCACTAATCATATTAATTTGATTTTTCAAAGGTTCATGTGTTTGCAATTGACGTAACAAATGTCAACACAACTGAAGGATGTTTCAAAACAAATGGAAATGCAACAATGCAAGCATTCATGCCTACTGATGTGTAAGTTCAGTTTTAGATTTATAGTTTTTGAAAAAAAAGGGAAGTCAAAGCATATAAATGATACTTTATTAAATATGATATTGTTTCAGTACAACCCTGTTTGACTACGAATGGATATTTCAAGATGGGACATCAATAGATGTTGACTCAAATAATACTATAAATCATGTTTTCACGACTGCTGGCTACCACAATGTAACTGCAAGAGTCAAGAGCAAGAAAACATCAAAATATGATGAAATGGTTTGTTAAATCTTGAATCCCTCATCGTGACTGTGTTTTTGCTGTATCTGGTTTTGTCTTAAAACAATATATTCAAGAGATCACATGGTACTGATATTCAAATGAGAATACTTATTTTTATTTCTAGAAAAAATACAATTTTGTATATATTTTGTATAGTTAGTGCATTGGAATGAGAAAACTTAGAATATACTGATGCCTCTATGCAACAAAAATCTTGTTCAAGTTCCGCTACAGGTCTTATTAAATGTTACAATAATGCTACATGCAGATTTGATCAGCATCAGGATATTTTTCCACTTGCTTATAAGTAAACACATTTCCATACTTTCGAACATAAGCTGTACCTGAATGTGTAAATTAAACATTCAGTATATTCTTATTTCAGTCTGTGATAGTGTGTATTGAAGATGAAATAACTTCCGCTGCAATAACTGACTCGCCAGAAACTGAGATAGGATCATCGACCACTTTTAAATTGAATTCTGTTGGTGGAACAAATCCAGTGTATAAGATTGATTTTGGTGACGGCACCTTGGTAGAAAATATCACATTAGCAGGTAAGTGATTTAGTCTTTGAAACACATCATTATATTTAAAAAAAAAGCTATCCTCCACTATAATCTTTCTTTCAAAGTTGCAAAATCATTCTTTTCATCAGAGCATGCCATTTCATGTTGTCATATTATGTTTAGGAGATTTCTGCATACTAGCTTGATTAAATTTCATAATTTTTATATTGCTGTGATTTAATCTTAGTATAATAACATGAAGATTACAATTTAATCTATGGTATTACTGCGAAATCTTGTATTTGTGTGTGTTTTTCACAAAGTATGTTTTTATCTCGGCAGTATTGATTCATAAAGTTTAACGGATGAATGTCAACATGCATAGCAGTGGTGTCTGAAATTAAAGTTTCCATTTTATGTTTGTTTTATTCTAGATATCACCCACACCTATTCTAGCACTGGAAACTACACGGTAACATTCACTGCAAAAAATCTTGTGAGTGAAGTGACAGACATTGCTTATGCTGTTGTACAAGAAGCTGTTCAAGGTATTCTCAAATGAATTAGAAAAATATCACAAATGTATAAATATTTTATCTGTTTTATCTCAAATATTATTCAATAGATGAGTCAGCAATAAAAAGTGTTGATTCATGTGGAGTGAGATCAGTATGTAGATTTATCATCTGTTCTACAATAGTATCTATTATCCAAGTTTTGCAATTTGCTTTTTTATTATGCCTAATTTCATTGTTACTTTGTTTAAAATACTAATTTTTAGTTTTTATTGTTTTTTATTTTCCAATTGAGCTATTTAAGTAATACCTTATTTTTATTTTGATATAGGAATCAATATTAGTACATCATCCACATATTCACCTTTAATTGCAAAAGATTTGCAAGTATTATACACTGCGACCTCAACTAATGGTACTGACCTTGAATATCAGTGGGATTTTAAAGATGGAAGCGCATTACAGAGCGGAATCGAGGTAAATCAATTCAATTATTGTCAAATTCAAAATCCTATAGAACATGCAAACTTGACAGCTATTTTTGATTAGAAAAGACAAATATAATTTGTTAGTTGTAATTATTTATGAGATATGCTTTTCTTGTGGAAAAGTAATACTGACACCGAAGGCTTAAAAATTATCTTTCTCAACAGTGGTTATAAAAATCTAAAAGCAAGCAGGCTGTTAGTTATAAACAAGATGATAACAATAACAATAATTCATTCTGTCTTATTGCATTTTTCATTCAGGCAAATCACACTTATAGCACTACAGGAGATTTTAAAATTACTTTGACGGTTTCAAATTTGATCAGTTCAAAAACCTTTGACTTTGACATTACTGTAAAAGAACCTGTGACTGGAGCAAGTATAACTGGACAAGGATCCATTATCAGAGCCAATACAAGTGTCACTTTCACTGCCTCAATCAGTACCGGTGGACCTGGGGAGAATTATTATTGGAAGGTAATGTTGATTTGAATCTTTCTGAAAAAAAAAAATATATATAGGCCATATGATGTTTAAGGCATTTAATTTTTTTTTATTCTAATTCAGGTTACCCCTGGACATGATTATACTTTATCTACATCGACGTTTACTTATGTATTCACGGATATTAAAAACTACAGCATATCTGTTAAAATTGAAAATGAGGTGAGATATAATTTATTCTTGCAGAAAATATAATTTTTTCAAACTTGAACTGCCCATGTTCATTATTTAGTCATCGGTTTCAATTTGAGGTTCAAATGGTGCATTGTAAATTCCCAATTACAATAAGGTAAAATAGTGTCAAACACAACACTAGAGATATAAATAATCATTTAAAAAAAAATAACAGCATGATAAATGGGATAAGCTATAATGGAAATTGCTTACTTATATCAAAATTGACCATCAAAGAATGATTACAGTAAAAAAAAAATTATATGATTGCATATTATTGTCAATGTGTGAAATATTAAAAAGAATATAGTTGCAATTGTTATATTTTTGTGATTTTGTTTTACTATTAGGTGAGTGCAGATTATGCAGAAATATTTGCTCTTGCTGCTGACTTAATTCTCGGAGTCAATATATCAACGGACGCTTTGGTGGATGGAAAATATACTGCAAGAAATGAAATCACTAGATTTGAAGCTTTGTTAGATTCTGGTGAAAACATTTCAACTACAACTGCAGGAAGTTCAAGTGCTGTTACAAGTGACTGGACCATTTCAATAAATGGTGTAACAGAAGAAGTTTACAATGGTATGTTAATCAATTAAGGAAATACCCCGGTTGATCAACTGTTTATCAAACTTATTACTAGTCTATCTCCTTTGTGAATTTGTAGTATAAATAGAAACACAAAGAGTAGTTACAGCATTGTAAAAATGTTGATGCATTGTGAACATGATTGCTATAGCACCGCTTATTAATGTGTGGGTTTTTAGCTTCGAATTCCAAATGGAAATAATTATGTGCGAGAATATTTCTGGAGTTCTGGATTACATGTAGTGGTCCCCACTACCTCTGGCCCATTATGTCCCCCTCCCTTGCATGCATTGCATTGGTTAACTATTCTCATGCTCAAAATAGATGGATATTCAAGTGAAAGTTCATGGATTTCACTATATAATTGTCAGCATTTTGCTCCCCATACTGAATACAGTGAATGAAAATTTCTTATTTTTAGATTCTTCTATCATATTTCACTCATTTAAAGAAGTTGGTATATACACCGTCAGTGTTAATGTAAGCAATGGAGTCAGTTCAAAACAATCTGAAATTACAGTTGATTCCATTGATAGGATTGGTGACATTAATTTTATGGTCATTGATGGTTTTGATGGAGCAGCTGCCACAGGATCAGAAGTCAAAATCATGGTTAGTTATCCATTTTTTTTTTAAATTTCCATATGAATATAAGTAATAAAATATTATCAGGAATATGTGTGTCTCTATGTTACTTTGATTTTATTGTGTTCCACACTTTTTCATTTAAGTAATTGACCCTTTTTTCTAGGCAATCGTATCTGTTGGCACAAATTTAGAATTCTTTTGGGATCCAAATGATTCTGGTGCAGCATATGCTGAAGTGAATGATACAAATTTAACATACACATACTCAGCAGCTGGAAAATATTATCCTTTTGTTCGAGTTGAAAATCCTCTTGGAAATAAGACTGAATCTTATGATTTGACTGTCCAAGATGTTGTTACAGGTATTCACTAAATAATTGTTGTTATTAATCTTTTGTTAATTATTTAGTTAAAAATAATTATTACACTAAAATCTGCTTTGAGTTAATTTAAATTCGCATTATACCCTGTACCTTACTCTCGTCTAAACAATAAGAATTTCTTGTCTATTTTCAGGACTTGAAATCACCCACATGAATGCAATCGTTCCATTCAATGTTCCATTATCTCAACAAACACATTTCGTAGCTTCCATTTCTTCTGGCACTGATGTCATTTACTCATGGTATTATGTAGGCGAATCTGGTACATTATCTGATATAGAAAACTCTACAAACACTCAAATGAATTGGAAATTTCCAGAGGTATTTTCACAATATATTTTCATTAATGTAGCAGTGCTCCTTATTATTGTGTTTTTAAAAATTTCGAATAGATTTCAAATCATATGTAAATACGAATACAAACTTTATTGCAGGGTCTGACTAATGATAAAAAAAAATGACAAAGAAATTTTAAATATACATGTAGTTTGAACTTCTTTTCGGGCACTATTAAGTACCATGACTATAATGTTTTCCAAATCAACATTACTTTAAGGATTACGCATGAAAGTAGAAATATAAAAAATGGCTTAAAGAAACATCTTTATATATGATTGGAGAACACCAATATGTATCTCTCGTTGTTACCGGTAACGCATATTAAATTATTATATATGTAATGTTGTGCAGGTTACCACATACAAGCTCATAGTAAATGCATCCAATCTTGTCAGCTGGGATCAAGTCAATTACACAGTGACTGTTGTGACACCGATTTCCAATCTTGATATTGTTTCTGACTCTCTGCTTGTTGCAACTAATGCTACAGTCAAGGTATTTCATTTTACACATTTTTTTTTATGTTCGTTGAGGTTCATGCACATCACTTGACCATTACTTGACCACATTACTACATCATGAACACTTTCAGTTCAAGTTTTTAAATTTTATAATCCAACTGAATTTTATTTGTTTTATACTTGTTAATGCAATGTTATGTATGATGTGAGTGTTCATTTGCGAAAGATATATCAAGACTGTCCCACAAAGACATTGAATATATTAGATTTTTCACCAATAATCAATTTGTAGGTTTTATTAAAAATCTTTATATTTTTTACAATCTAACACTAAGTTTTCTTCATCATATTTAGATCAAGGGAACAGTGGAACATGGTGACAATGTTAATTTCAAGTTCTATGTTAATGGGTCAGAATTATTAGCAGCAGTGGTGAATGAGAAGGAATCTGAAACATCATCTTATTTTGTTTCACCCGGTATATATGAAGTAAGCAAAACCATTTTGAATTTGCATGTTTATATTGGTATATTTTTCTCAATCATCATTATCCAAATCTATCTCAATAAGATACAATAGTGGTGAAAATTTTTTTTATTGATGTCCCAAACAATCTATTCAGAATAAAATAATGAAAATCTCATTCTAGGTTTATGTTGAAGCAAGCAACAATGTGAGTTCTTCAAATCTGACAAAAATAATTACAGTTCGAGATCCGATATCTGGTGTGAAAATTGAAGGATGTTGTACTGATGCAATGGTAAGTTGGCAAATTATGTATTATCTGAATCAATAATTTCAATCTGTGGATCAGATAATGACACCAATGATTGTACAATTAGAAGAATAAAGAAAACCTATTTCACTTCAGACGTTAACAGTTGTTCAATTTTGTATGGACACTAGTCTATTAAATAAATATACCTTGCAACTATTTTCAGTGTGCAAAAATTTCCCTTCTATTTTTCAAGTATGTGGCAACTGGGGAAAATCTGACCTTTTCTGTGAAAACTGATTCTGGCACAGACATTGTTTACTCTTGGAACATTACGTATGAAACTGGTCAAGTCATTCAAGCAAGCGGGCAAGAAATTCACAAAACATTAACAGTTCCTGGACGAACTGAAGTTAAATTACTTGCAAATAATGGAGTCAGTGAAAGCATAATAGCTCTAACATTGCAGGCAAGTTCATTTTGATATTTTGAGAAAACTTTTAATTTTTACTTTAAAGCAGAATGAACCAACCATAATTAAGAATTTAAATTATAAATATCTGAACATAAGATAAAGTGAATAGTTGAAATTACCTCAGAAGCACTATCAATTTATCCTGTGTTAAATTACTTCACGGTAATATCTGAAAATTGTTCATGGTTTTCAATTAAATATGCACATAGATACATATTTTTAGTAAGTAGAGCCAATACGTAAATTTTGTAACTTATGGAACAAAATATTTTCATAATAACCGAGTTCTTTTTGATCCGGATATATAATATTTTTTAGTTATGTGTATAATATTTTTACAGCTTCAGGATAAGTGTCTTGTGCAACTGTCTGTAGAAAATCCAGGAAGAACACAATACATAAATGAAAACATCACTTTGAACATAAATGTTGTAGTAAGTGTACAACTATTTTTAAAAATGGCTAAAATAATTTTCACAAATAAAAGAAATATTGTACACTTTTACACAATATTTTCTTGTTTTTAAAGTTTACTTCAAAATATTTCATTTGCTAATAGCGACGAGATGTGCTTTTTAAATTGTATTTTGACTTTGAATAGGTTGGAACTAATGTATCACATACTATTGACTGGGGAGACTTTCCAAGCATTCCAGATATAACTACAGCAAGCACAGCAGTTCATATATATAGATTTAAGAATGATTACACAATCACAGTCAACACAAGCAATCAAGTTAGTTGGGTAAGTATTGTCCTTGATATCTCCAACCTAAGTAAAATTGTGACTGTTACTAAATTTCTTTTTTCTTCATACAACAATGTGATAAATTTTTAAAACTCTTTTAAGATCTACCCTTTTAAATCATGAAATTTACTGATAATGATGTCTAACACAGTTAACACTATTAAATTCATTTGTATTTTTCAATATTTTACTGGCATTTTTAATTTTCAGGTTGAAAATACAGCTTCAGTGACGATCAGCAAACTTGCATGTGTTGCACCTACAATCTCATTTGTTGAAAGCAGCAAATCTTCCAAGTTTTTTCGTTCTCGAACAATATATGTTGAGTCAACAATCACAACAAACTGTTCTGATTATGATGTTTCTTACACTTGGCTTGTCTATAAACAAGAGGACTGTACTACACTTAATCCAAACAATGTCCAGGTACATTTTGTTTCATAAAACTCTGATATTAGCCGAATCCTTTTCATAATTTCAATTTTCTTGAAAACGAATGATGCTCATAACAAATCATTATTCTGATATAATCTCTAAAATTTTCAAAATTAGGTTATTGAAATCTTTACCATTTCAAATAATATCGTGAAAATTTGGGGCCAGCACCATGATAACCTATACAAAATACTTTATAAAATCAGTCATCCTTTTAAATACTATCTGTGTTGCTCAAAAGGTTGGTTTCACATTGTAATTCTTGGCGTGATTAAGCCTTAGTGTATTTCCAACAGTCATTCATATATCAGAAAAGATAAAAATAAACAAAAACAAAATTATTCATTCCGAAAAAAATGCATCATCCAATTTTAAATACATTTATATATCTTACTTTTGATTTATGTAAAAATTTCAGGTATATTCTTAGCTTTCATCAAATTATTCTTCATTTATATTTTATCACGAATGGTATTTTTAGAAAATCTCTGTTGGTTCCAATAAACCAATGCTGGTTCTTCCTGCATTAACACTCGAAGTGAGCAACTACTGTTTTGAAGTTGAAGTATCGTATGATGACACTTATCTGTCAGATAAATCTGCTGTATCAGTGGCTGTAAGTATCCAGATTTGCTTGTGCTAATTTAGTGTTTAAGTCAACTTATTGAGCGAGATTATTTGCTTACTACTTATTATCCAATGATCTGTATTCTTAGGTTTTTTTTTATTTGATTTTCCCAACTCTTTCTACTTGATGCAGGTTTTGTTTAATATTTATTTTTAAAATATTTTCATTTTGTGTAGTGATAATTATAAATTAAATCTCATTTTGAAATATTGGCACATCTAGGTGAAAATATCACATACTAATATTAAAGTATGTAGAAGTTGTAAATTTGAATACAAAGGACTCAACTTGAATCTTCTAGGTACTTTCTACTCCTTTGACTGTTGTTATCATCGGTGGAACAACAAGATTTTTATCAAAAGGAGCTCCACTGGTTCTTGATGCTGGGTATTCATTTGATCCTGATGTCCCATCAGAACAACAGAAAGGGTTGTCATTTCTATGGACTTGCAATTCATCAAATGCACTAACAGAAGAAGATTATGGTTACATAAATAGCACAGTTACGAAGGTATGTTTCTATTATACCCAAAGTTAAAACTATCAAATTTATTTCACTGCTTAAAGCAGTCTTTACAATAATATGACATTGAGGTCGTTTTACAACTAATTTTTTCTGACATAGACAGATGCAAATACGATACTAGTAATCCTATTTAATTATTATCAGGCTCCTAAAAATTCAGTTCCTTTAATGTTTTTTCAAACTCAACTCAAGTAGGTTAGAAATAAAAATAAGGTTTGAAGGAATGATATTAAAATTACTTCATTATGCACCATTATATAGAAGCAATAAAACACTTTTCTGTTAACTAGTTTAACAAAAATATTCATTTTCTTGCAGACTGCCCAATGTGACATACCACTGGCATATCAGACTGAATATCAATTCAGTATACCTCCTGAAACTCTTGAAGAAGAAATGCAATATGATTATAAGGTGACAGCTTCCAAGACTGGAAAAACTGACTCTTCTGCTGTTCAAAGAGTAGGCTGTTTTATTCATATTTCAAATTTCCTTTATTTGAGCAGAATGTTGTATTCATGTACTTCATGTCTTTGACAAATTGCTTTCTGTTCCAAGGTTGTTGTTGTTCCACGTACTATACCTACAACAACAATAGTTTGTTATACCTGCTACTCCATGGCTTCATATCAGATCAGTGCTTCATTTCACGTTGGATTGCAAGGATCTTGTGACACATGCTCAAGCACCGATAATGTAAGTACCAAGAGAATAGGTTTTACGACACACAGACTTATTGCTGATGTACGACCGTATATATCATACATCCATTTTTGTTTGAAAATTGTAACTGTGTTTAGCCCAATACTATTTCAAATTGTTCTGTTTTGTTGGAGACAATCATAAATTTACAGGATATTTTCATGATGAATTTAAATTACCGGTCCTATTCAATTACATGTTATGAAGGCATTGAGATTAATTCATTATTTTATGCTGATGATTTTTCAGATAAAATATATCTGGGAAGTGTTGAGAGTATCGGATAATGGTTCTGAAGAAGATACTATATTTCCACTTGATCTTGAAACAACAACAACAGGAGCACAATCAAGATATTTGGTTGTGAAGGAAGGAGCACTGGTCAACTCATACACCTATCAGTTCAAACTACGGGTACTTGTAGTATAATTGTGTAAAGATTAGACTCTTTTAGTTTTTGTACTCTATTTGGTTTTCATATTCGGTAAACTCATTCAGTTAAACTAAATTCTCCCAATAATGTGGATGACACTGGTCTATCACTTAGTACTCACTTCAGTGTATATGAATACGTATTATATCATGACTTGATATCTTTATTTATTTTTCATTTGCATTAGATCAATGTTGATGGAGAGGAAGGGTACTCTAAGCTGGTACTTGGTCCCAATTTGCCTCCTTTAAATGGGACGTGTGTTATGACATATGATGGTTGGCCTACAAATCCTATATATGCCCTGGATACCCTGGTGTCGTAAGTAATTTTTTCCACATTTTTCAGATTTATCTTAAAATTATAGAAATCAATGCTACTAGTTTATCTTCATTCTAGTTTCTCTTGTTCCAACTGGCGAGATGATGCTGCAGATTCTGACTCACCTTTAGTGTACACAATTGTTGCATGTCGACGTTCATCTACAGGATTTGAAGATACTGACGACACATTTATTCTTTATCGAGGAACACAGTTATCATACGAGGTAAGAAAGCGTCAATTTTTACCATGGAATTATTTATCTATTATATTATGTCAAACACAAGTATATAACCAATATTTCTGTATCTTTTGATAGCATAGGTTTTAGCATGTTTGTTTAAAAATAAATTAATTAGTGCATTTAGAGTGAAAAACTATTTTTTAAAGACTATTTGTTTTGTATTGATATTATTTTCTGTAATACAGGGATATGTACCTCTTGGGCATGCAGATTATGGATATTTGGTCAACATCAAAGTATTAGTTGAAGATCAGCTTGGTACATCTACCCTTGGTTTGGATCAGTGAGTATTGACTTGTTTTAATCACAGGATAGAATTACATTCTTGAAGTCATGATTTAATTTGGCCAACGTACAACATACCACAATACCATGTCATTGAGTATATTATATTTCATAGAGCTAAACATTATCACTGTGTTCACTGTGCTCCAAGTTCAACAAAGTATGTTTTATTAATTTTGCAGAATATAAGAAGTATTTTCCATCTTTCAAAAATATTGTCAGATATTTAATTTAGATCTGTAAAAAATGAATAAATGGATAATGATGAATTGATTTTGTGCCTATAAATATTTACTTCTGTCGAATCCATTGTCACTTAAGAAATATTTCTGCAGATATTGTCTCTCCATAGTCACATCTTTTGCAACTATTTTTTGACTGCAATCATTCGCAACAAGACAGAAATAATTAGGAAAAAAATCAATCATGAACTTTTCACAGGAATGTAACAGTAACTATGGGAGAGAGAGACTCACACATTGATTGGTTGGTTCAAAAAATACAAGTGGAATTGACGATTTTAGAAAAATTAAATGATCCACAAGATATTTTGGATTTTTCTGCTGCTGCCATTACTATCCTTAATTCGGTAAGAATTATATATATGGTAGGTATTATTTTACATCTTCTCAATGAAAAATGCAGAAATTCAGTCAAAAGCACTTCTTTTAAATGGCACGAGATATATGGTGATGTTGTAATTATTGAATGCATTTCTTCATTCTTCTATTACCAGTATTTACTCCATTATCCAAGATATCATCCCCCATGTTGAAACATTGTATGAAATGCATATTACGAATGTTACACTTTGCTTAATTAACATATTTTATTTTAATAAATATTGAGAATGAGTCTCGAAGTATCTTGTAATTTGTTATCTCATCTTGAATGTAAGATCTTAATTCTAAAGAATTGATTGAAATTGCTAGTTCAAGTTTTGTTAAAAAAGGAAGCTTTATATTTCATGAATTCCAGGTGTCAGCTCAGAACAATATCAGTGTTGCTGATACAGAATATAGTAAAAGAGTTGCTGTGAGAGAGAAAATTACGCAAACTGTTACCGGGATTGAAACAACTACCCTGAAGGAAGTTCAGCAAGTTGCATCTGTATTAGAACAATGCATGGTAAAAATCAATTGTGTATTCTTGATGACTAGTCGAGTCGATATTACATGAGAATATGAATGATGATTTTGGTGCTATTTATATTCTGCTTCAAGTTTTAAATTTTACCACCCATGCAGTATCTGTTGGATTGTATTATCAGTAATATATTTTGTCAAACAAATGACGAAAAACAAATTTGTTTTTCAAAGTCGAATCTATTCCAATATTAACCTTGATTTATTGCCATAGATGTTATTTTATTTTATGGCACTATCTTATACCTTATTATTTCTGAAGATATTTGATTTATAAATAAGCTACCTATATGGATATATTTAATAACGTCAAACGACTAGATGAACTACAGAAGTTAGAATATGAGATTTTTTTTCTTTCAGAAAGAACCAATGGAAATGCAAAATCCAAGCATTCAGCAAAATGTTGTTGCCAGTGTTGAAAACATGGTAACGAGATTGGGAGAATTTGTTAATAAAGAAGGTCAAACAACATTCCAGAGAGCGACAAACGATGTGCTAGATATTATTGGTGGTTTAATCAGAGTTGTCAACTATGCTGTATATGACACCGTGACCGCAGAAACAATTGCAAATCCTAATGCTGGAAACGGTATGTTTTGTTCTTGGGAAAAAATTAAAAATCAACAATGAAAAATTGGGTTTTTGGTATTCTTAAAACAATAATAGTGGCCAATTTTAATAGTGAATTTGTCCTTTTTCAGTGTCTGTCAACTACACTGAAGAATATCGACGTGAAATTGTCAACAAACTGATGACAAACATTGATTTACTTGTTGAAAATGTACTGAAAAGCAAAGTAGTTGATGAAGAAGCAGTTTCATTCTTATCTCCTGTAGTCAGTGTCACAAGTATCAAGACAACCCCCAGCACAGCTCCAAAGTGAGTGTTTGGATATCGACGTGGTAATTTAGTTAACATCATTAACTGCAGCGGTATTTAAATTTTGACCTACATTTCACAGAGAACAAGTGAATGGGGGTATATACTGGAATCTTCCAAGTCATGTATTTGATGGATTGAGTTCTGATATTGAGATGTTTGCAGTATCAATGGTTTATGAGCAGGTGAGTCCAGAGTTTTTTCATTTATATGTTATATGAGCTTATTCCAGTAGGATAGTTGGATATGGATTTCATTCTTGTATTGCTATTTTTCTGTATCTCATGGCCTCGAAGCTGCGACTCATTTAAAGAGATTTTTGTTGTTGTTTTTGGTAATCATTACTGATCCTACTGATTTTTTCTTATCTAATTATAAATTAACATCATATCATGCCTTCTTTTTTATGTAGAATCCGTTTACCTATGGCTTTCCACCTCATAGTTTATCAAGTAATGGATATGCAAACATCACTTCTCGAGTTCCAAGGATAGAATACACATATCCTAATGGGACAGCAATTCCTATCACTAACTTGGCTACAGCCAGCGTAAGTAATAGGTTTTCAGATTACCATATATACAGCTGTAGTAGTTCATATTCAAAAAACATTGTGAAGTTTTAATTTTATAAAACTATTGATCCTTGCTGACATGAAAATGAATTTGTGTAAAACCTACATAAGATAAGATGAATCATTCGCACGATTGAAATTACATCTTTTTTTGTGATTTATGAATTTTTATTGTAGATCTTTCTATTCACCCATTTGGTTTATAAAAGTATCAAGTAAACATTTATGACCAGCAAATAAAACAGCCACAGAATCTTTTTTTGTTACAGGAAGGAAATGAAAGACGAGTAAAACTTGTTATGGCACAAAGTTCATGGGAATACTTGAGTGTTGCTGATACATTGCAGGTTGTAAATGCTTCTGGTTCAAACTATCAACCAAGGGTAAGTGCGGACATAGAAGCTGAAATTTTTCTGCATAAAAAGTCATCAAAGCATAAATTATATTTGCGTTGCAGGCTGGACTTGTATTTGAATCAACTCCTGACATGGTTGAACCTCTACAGTCTGTTGCAATTACGATAAAAAATGATAATCGTGATGCAGGAACAGCAGTTCACATCATGATCATATATACAAAAAAGTATAACAACAATAAAGCTGAGCCGAACCCAACCATAGGTGAGAATTTTGTGTTTTGCTTATTTTTTGTTGTTCTTGCATATTTGGAAAATGAATCTGCTCCTACAACAAACTGTAATTGGCTAAGGGTAGTTTGAGGTTGTAGTTATAATTTGAATTCAATACAAGAGAAATTTTGAAGGTGAAAACTTTTATTTTTTTTGCTACTCTAATATTTCATTTTTCTCACATCTTTCCATGACAAATGCTATTGTAAGAGTACCGTTTAATTGGAGGATCGTAGCCTTTGCACACAAAATTCATCAAACTAATAGATGGATTCATAAGCAAAAGATATCGTGATAACATAACTTAAATTAGTACCAATAAGCTGTTTGCATACCTGCAACTTAGCAATTCTTGTTGCAAATAATATATATTCAATCCATGATCTTCCACAGAGGCTTATTTTGGATATTCACCTAAACCAAACAAGGAAGATTATGCTGCAATATTGAGGATATCAGATGTTGAGATGACAGATGGTGCTAATCATCAACTTTATACATTCTTCTTGGATCCATCGTATGGATTTGTTCTGTCTTCTCGATTTTGTTGATAAATGGCAAAATCACATTAACTATGTTTATATTCAATTAGAACTGAAAATTCAAATACTTAGAATTGTTTTACCGTTCAAAATTCTATTTGCATTGGTAATTTTAATCACAAAACTTGTTAAAAAATATTATTGACATTTTAACCATTATTCAGTATATATGACTTCATTTTCCCTCTGTTATTTGCGGCAATTTAATCATAATCATATAGCGAAGTGCATTATATTTCAGCCAGTTAGACGATCTTCTTTCACAATACCAATTTTGTTGCAATCTTGATTAAAAAATACTTCATATATTTCAGGTTGAATGACACAACTGTGCCAGAATTATATTTGAATATATCCAACTACTTCACATATGAAATCATTGATCTAAAGATTGCAGTTTATTACAGCTTATGTCTGTATTATGGTGAATCGGTAAGATTGATTTTAAAACAAAAATAGAAAAGGGAGCATTTCTAAACCAACTGTAGATTAGTTATGATAAAAAATACAATATTCAAATGTTATCTATCTTATATATTCTATTTATTTTGCAGAGTGACATATGGGCAACTGATGGTTTATATCCATCATCAGAGTCCACATACACTGTGTCAGTATGTTATTCAGACCATCTCACATCATTCGGGTCTTTTGTCATTAATCCACCAAATCTCATCAATGTCACTGATATTGTGGTAAGATTATTACCTAATTTCAGTGTATGCCTGTTTATACTGATAAAATAATTTCTTCCAATTTCTTGTTAATTTGAACTAAATGGTTAAATGTACTGTCCAATGTTCTTAGTAAATAATCAAATGTTATTGTTGCTCATCCTGTTATCGCTATATAAGTTGTCGTTATTCGAGTTGACAGTATTTTTAATTTATACAGAAATAAAAAGGTATAATAAATATTCTAATTCATGCATATGTATAAATATCTGAAAAGTAATTTAAGGGTTTTAAGACAAAAGGACAAATATTAAAATTTCGATAAATTTTCATTTGAACATATTACAAAGATGTACATGCTTTTCAAGCTAGTATTCAAATCATAGTTTGAAGCAATATTTGCCAAAGTATTTTAATGAAAAGTTACTTGTGATTTTTAAACTTCTTCATTTGCATTTACAGAACATTGATTTTTCACAAAATCCTATTGCTCTGATAACTGTGGTTGTTATTATGTTCCTCTACATTGTTGCAATGATATGGGCAAGAAAACTTGATTTGAGAGATATTAAGAAAGCAAGTGTAATTCCGCTTTGTGGTTTGGATGGTTCATTCAAATATGAAATTACAATCAAAACTGCTGCTGGGATTGGAAGTGGTAAGTATATTTGTTATGTTTCATTGGGCCACTCATATTTCCTTTAACGTTAGCAAGCAAAAAATAAAACATCATACTACACACCTGTTGTAACATTACTTTTTGAAAATGCAAGGGGGTGTGTCACAAGCCAACCCCCATTCACTGTGGTATGCTAATTTATGCATAAAATTGTTTATGTTTGAAGTTGATTGCCAATAACTTCAGAATTTTTTATCGCTACAGTGACCCGCTCCACTCTTATATCACCGATAAGTAATATAATAGTTTATTTAATATATTTCAGGAACGACTGCCAATGTTGGAATATGTGTTTATGGATATGATACAAGATCAGGTTCAAGACATCTAGCAAGAAAAGATGCATTTCAACGAGGTGCTGTTGACACAATGCAAATTGCTTCTGATGTTAGTCTGGGTGAAATTTATAAAATCAAGCTGTGGCATGACAACACAGGTACAATAGAATAACATTTTTTATCTGATTTCAATTTTAAATGGATTTAATACAAATGTATACCATCGTTTGAAATTTAAAATATTCAAAATTACACATCTTATCAGGTTTGGATCCTGGCTGGTGTGTGGACCGTGTCATGGTTCGTGATCTTCAAACTGAATATAAGTATTATTTTCTGGTTAATTCGTGGCTGCAAGTTTATCCTGACGATGAAGATGAAACGTGTTTGGAAAAAACCATCCGAGTTGCAAGTAAGTTATGTGTTTTTGATAAACAATTTCAGCAAACTTCATGTAAAATAGAAATTGTTGGAATGTTATAATTTTTTTATTTTTATCTTCCACCATTAAATTTGACACTATAATAGTGAATGGGAATAGTAACCGTGTTGTTTTCAGGCAGCCCAAAACTTTACCCACGCCTTCCATGAAAGGTCTGGCTGATTTTGACTTCTCTTTCCAGGACTAAAAAATCTTTAATACAAATTTTGTCAGTCAAATTTCAGAGACTTATTGAAATGCTAACTGCAGATTGCATCTCATTTGTGGTACCTTGAATCTAATTCCTAACCTTTCTTTTTACTTGACTTGCTAATTTAACCAAACTCTATAAAACCAAGAAAATCAAATTTTCTTGGTTGATTGATGTTAACGAGTAATGAACTCTTCTTGGACCAGCACCGGGTTTGGTGGTTGCCGGCCATTTATATGGGGAAGAAATAACAGGTCCTTGTTGTTTTACTATTTTCAGCTGAGGAAGAATTAATGAATTTTTCAAACATTTTTGGCTCTCAACTATCATACGGATGGGAAGATGCACATTTATGGTTGTCCGTTATTGAACGTCCAACTCGAAGCAGATTTACAAGAGTTCAGCGAGTAACATGCTGTGTTACTTTACTTCTGACATTCATGCTGTTCAGGTAAGAGTGATGTGAAAAATGAATACACATTCTGACGCACTTCACACGACTTGCCAATGTGATTATATTTTTTGAAAACCTAGAATTAAATTGAAACCTTTGTTCAGTGCCTTTTGGTATCAAGGATGGGATGCAGATGGTGATGTAATACCACAAGATACTATAGTTGGAATTTTAAGATGGAAAGATATTGCTGTTGGTGCAATTGTCAGTTTGATGGTCTTTCCACTGAGTCTCATCATTGTTTGCGTTTTCAAGAAATCTAAGAGCAAGGTATGAATTTTGAACTTTCTCAGTCAATATTTGTATACGAATTTTTAAAATTGTTGATTCTAAATATTGTTTCGATTCTAATCCCTAATTATAGCCTTTTTTTAAATGCGATTGCCTGTTTCCAATAATGCCAAATATAATATATTTGAAATTCTAGGTGGCACCAGTTAAACCCTGGCTTGAACGTTCAAGAACTGCACAAACAATAGAAATACTTGATGAAATCATTGATGGAAATGGAAGACGTTATAATGCTGACATGTCAGATTCTGATGATGATTACAGTGAAGGATCTTCAAGGCATCATCAAGGATTACCAGGACAAAATGAATTTTTAGCCGGATATTTCAATGAATCAGTAGATGGTGGATCACTATTTCATTCAGTAAGTAACTTTCATTCTTTTACGAAGATTAAGCAAAGTTAATTAATACAGATTAAGAATAGTTGTTAATTATCGTTATAAGTCAACTAACCTTTAACAAAAGTGAAATAACTTTATACAAAACAAATTATAATTTATACAAAATTTATACTTGCACAAATTATACTTTAACGTGTTGTTTTGCAACTTCATTCAGAGAGCACAAACTCCTGTTAGCATAAAAAGTAAACCGTATGAATCATCTTCAAGTCGTAAAGCAAAATTACATAAAGGATCTGGAACTGTTAAATCTTTGGACATTAAAGACAAGGTAATTTTTACATGATTTATTCCAAATTTCTCACAATTATGCATAAAGTGCACTGTTTCTACTGCTGTTGATGGATTTCAACTTATATACATACTTACAGCATGTTCTTGCTGAACAATTCGCAAAGTTGTAGTGAATGAATAATCTGATCAATATTTTTTCAATCTTAAAAATGTTAATTAGGTCTGGTCTGATGACAGTGCAATTCAGTTGTCTGATAGTCCATCATCATCTGGTGTGACAGGATCATCAGGAGATATAGCATCTTCAAGTGAGGATAGATCATCTACAAGTGGAAGCCCAGAGTAAGATTTCAGCTGTCTTATTATAGGAATGAATTGACTTTGACTTGAAAATCTGTATTTTATTTTTTCCACTTGTTTGTAAATTTTTATGAGAATACACAGGTGATTGTACGAATTGAATTTTTCTATAAAAGGCTAGTAAGAAATCATAATTTTTGTCATGTTAAACAGTTGGCCGAACCGCACGAATGCAACAAAAAAAGGTTTGTTACATTCTCAAAATGAAAACCAACTGCAGAAACCAGTGAAGTTTTCCACAACCCAGTTTACAGAATCTCCTCAAAGTGTGACGTAAGTGTATTTTTTTATTTCTTGAACGCAGGAAAACAGGCTGATAATTTTGATTTTTATATAAATATACATTTATAATAGGAGAAAACCTCTTCGACGACGCAACACTGGTTTCGTCAGAAATACAGACAGTGCTAGTCCACCTAACTTTGTGCCTGAGAATGAAGATGATGATGAAGATATTAATGATCTCTGGGATGTTTTCGCAAATAATGATGATATGGAGGAAGATCTTGTGATTACGTAAGATAGGAAACTAATGTCACAGTTTGAAGCGAAACATCTACAAATAAATAAAATAACTCTATTTATAGTCAGACTGAGGCCAAAATTTTTCCTAATAATAATTGATACTAGTATTTTTAATGGTCAAACTTCATCGCAATTAATAGAATTTAATTTTCGTTGTCTTCCTTAAACTTGTGTGTCATTCATGCTACAAATTCGATATATTGTCTCAAGTCAGTGATGATTGAAATTTATTTGTTTATTTCAAACATTTTAAATGTCCTCATAGAATGACAAGAATAAATAAAAAAATAAGCACAACAAATTAATTAAGGTTAAAAAAGTAAATAACATATAAAAAATGGGCAGAACACAAAATGAGGAAATAGGCTAACTTATTAAGCAACAGGCTGAATGCACACTAATTGGATAACAAACTTTGATAATTATTTTATGCTAATTCGAGTTTCAGTGTTGGGGGCTAAGACATTGACACAACTCAAATTGGACTCAAGTCATTTCTTTATCCGAGACTTGACTTAGACTCTCACTCAAGTGAGGTTCAACTCAGTGACTGACCTGACTCTACATTCGAATAGATGTGAATCAAATTGACTAACAGGGGTTCGAGGACTTCTGCCCAACACTGTTTTGAGCACTCATATGTCTAGTAATATCTGGCAATATTTAGTAATATCGGGCTTATTTTTGATTACATATCAAATTTTGATTACATATCAAATTTTGATATTATATTGTTGTAGAAATAAGCAAGCAGTTTTGAAACGTACACGAGGAACTAAGTTCAATGAGATTGATGAAATTCCACTTGGTGATGAACATCGAGGTTTGGTTTTAGACGATGTACTCGTCAGTCACAGTGATGATGATTCTGATGAAAGTGATGTTCCATTACCAGATTTTCCTACCAGTAGAGGTGAAAGCAGAATGTCAAGAGGTAATTTTATGAACACCATGTATGACACAACTTGTGGATTTATTGAAGTTTAGCCATGTCTGTGCTCTCCAACTAGTTGTTCTGAAGTTGTTGAATCAACAAAGCATATTAACATTGTTTTTGTTTTGCATCATCACCCAATTTATTTCATCATGGATATGAAAATAGATTAAGCTTTCTGGACTAATCGGAATCAGTCTTATCCTGCTTTAATGCAATCACTTGTTCATTGTTTCAATTTTTGATCTCAATATTTCTATCTGTGTTTGATTTGATTTTGTCATTTCTCATATTTTATATGAATTTAGCTTTAATTAATGGTTTATATTTCTTGCTATTTCCATTTTACTTGATATCCATCTGCTTTTTTCCAAAAAAAAATTTTCCCGTATATTTGGGCAAATTTATTATTAACGTAGTGAATCGTAGTGTTATTGATTTTGGATATAATTCTTTCATTTATCAGCATCAACATACTTTGGATCAAGTCCGCAGCCATCTTCTGAAAAATATCTTCTACCACACTGGTGTATTTATCTCAACTATTTTATATGCTTCATTACAATGGGAGTCTGTATTCTGTTTATCATATTGTATGGAAATGCATTTGGTGCAGACACAACAAAAAGATGGCTCTTGTCAATGTTTGTTGCATTGCTCGAAAGCTTCTTCATTGTAGAACCTATCAAGGTAAATTCGTATTCTATCAATAAATAATAAGATGAAATTATTTCAGTCAAGTATATATATCTTAAAATTTAATTAGCGTAGAAAAAACTAAATGAAAAAGTTTTTCGTTTTGAAATGATTCTTATATGATATTACGGTTATTTTTGAACAGGTTGTTCTATTTGCTGCTTTCTTGGCCTTGATTACAAAACCAATAAATCCTGATGAAAATGATAATCTTGTGGATGAACCTCTTGTAGAAGCATATGGACATACTGATGTAAGTTAATTTTTCATGTTTTATGTAAACTTTTTATGCTATGAATAAATTTGTTTTTTATGTCATTTAATAGAATGGGTATTGATATTATTTAGTTTTGATGCCAGTATTTAAAAATAGGTCTGTGAAGTATCCAGCAGTAAAGCTATAAGAATGAATTGCAAAGAAAACTGTGTTGGAACATTAGTTTCTATTTATTATATATTGATTAACATTTTTCTTTATTGCTACAGAGTTTCAGCAAGGTGAGAGCACCAGGCGGTTTTGCTCTGGATAAATGCAAGCGTGAGGCTCAGAAAACAAAAAGATCTAACAAGCTTCTTTTACATCTGGCCATCTATTTGATTTTCCTATCGTCAGTTGCAGCAGTGGCATCTTGGGATCGTGACACCATGGGATATTACAACACTCTTGCTGTTAAGAAATCGTTATTCAACACTGAGTTCAGGCTTCAATCTGATGCTGAAGGACCTCGGTGGCAGAATAAATCTTCAACATTCAATGAAATTAGAACGTTAGTATCTAATAAGTATATACTGTTATAATTCTTCTTTTTATTATCATTACTGTAAAGTTATCAAAACAGTCATTGTGTTAATTGCTCTGAGACAATTTACTTTTTTCTTGCAATAACATGTAACAGAGTTGTTTGCCATTTGATTAAAAATTGAAGAGGTATTGATATGCAAAAATACATTAAAAATGAAACAATGATAAATAAATTATAAATGTTATTGAATTCCATTTCATATTTTCAATGCCTGTATTTTTATTTCTATTTTTTAGTGTGACAGATATCTGGGCATGGCTTGATCAAATATTTGCTGTGAAGATATATGAAGCCAAAACATCTTTGGAGAATGAAAATCTCAATAACAATCTTCTTGGAAAAGTCAGACTTCGACAACAAAGAGATGTCCCAGGTAATCAGTTATGTCGCAATATTTAGAACAATCACTAGTTTATTGTAATTAAATAAAATTAAGCTTTTCCTTCAAATACAGGAATCTGTTTTGTTGATACTGGTCAGAGGCAATATAGTCAGATAACAAACACGGGACAAACATGTTTGAATCACGACTCAGGGAAGCAAGAGACTGATACTTTTGGTGTTGGCTGGACTAATTCCACAAATGATTCATGGACATGGACTAAAGCTGAATTTGGAGGGTTAGAATTTGGATTTTGCAAACTATTCAAATCAGACCATTATATTTTCAAAGTTAAATAACGTCTTGTTGGGATTTGAGTATTTTCATATTTATATGCCTCAAGTTTCTTACAATAGATTTCTACATTTGTCTTATGTGTATTCATAGTGTGATGTACTGGGGTGAAGATTTGATATATGATGATTCTGGATATTCACAATTCATTAATTCTTCATCAACTGAAACTGAGGCCAAACAGAAGTTTACAGAATTGCAAGATCAGAATTGGATTGACAGGAATACCAGAGTGGTGTTTGTAGAATTCACACAACTCAATCCAGCAACATATTGGTAAGCATTGACTGACATTAATATGATCATAATATTCCACTATCTTGGTTATGCTTAATCAAGTTTAATGCATTTCACAATAAGTCTCTTTTGATTTTATTGGATCCTTATTCTAACCATGTTAAAGCATCTGGCAATTATAATAGCTGGTTTCCTGGTTCCTTAATCGGTACCGGACTAGCAATGGTATTTTACTATGGAATTAAAATTTTCAATATTTCTTCTCTCCTGGGAAAATATGAAATTTTGTATGTTGAATGTGTTGCAGCAGATTATTAATGTTATTTTTTTAGGTTTACTGTCTGTGCTGTAATGTTTGAAATTGGTGTCAGTGGAGGTGTGCGACCATCAATAGATATACAAACAGTCCGTATTGTTGTGCCAAGTTCTTCTTTCTATGTGGACATGCTTTTTATGGTTTGTATGAATTATTGTTGTTCAAAATTAAACCGTGTGAGCAATATAATAATTCAAATTTTGTTTTAGTCATTTGTCGGAATCATTGGTATTATTCTACTAGTGATGGAATTGAAAAAAGTCAGAGATCCAAAAATAACCCCACAACTATACTTCACCAAGTGGACGAATTGGGTTAATCTAGTTGTCCTGGCATTGACACTCACATTATGCATCCTCTTCATATACAAGTATGTATTGTTCTATTTTACTGAATATTTTACATTTTGAAATTTTTTTCATTTGTGAATGCCTTCTTTTTGTTAAATTTTCAATTTTTTACAATGATAATGGTGTAAAAAATTGTTTATTCATACCAAATTAATTAATTATTAGCTTATACAATATTGTTAATTTTTCTAGGGAAATATACATGGAAGAAGTCACACAAAGATACATATCAGACAAAACCGCATTCACCAATTTCTATAAGATTGCTTTCTATACTGATTTAGTAACCATTACTGCCTGCCTACTTCTATTTGCTATCATAGCGAGGGTAATACACTTATTAGTTATTAGTATAATATAAAATACGGCTGCTTGATAGTGCACTCTTTGTCCTAACCTCTTTAGTATTGTGGGCTGCAGATTAATCTCAGGCTTTTCAATTTATTTCCACCATCTAATCCTCGGTAAATGTGTATGCTGAACCAGGGAGGTAACGTATTTTCAGATCTAGTAGTTCTAAATGTATTGCAAAACGCCTTGTTGATTTTTTTCAAATGACATTCATTTATGTATAGACATTAAACCCATATCATATTATAGTATGCTCTTTAGCAAGTGGTTTACATTCGAAGACATGGTCACCGCAATATGGATTCAACCAATGGTTTTAACATTAGACCATAAATTTCAAAAATATTCTAGGAAGTAACTCAACTTAATTTGCAGGCTGCAAGACTATTGCGCTTTATCAAATCATGGTCTTCAATTGGTGACACCATCGTTGCAAGTGCAGGATATCTGCTTGGGGCTTCATTCATGCTCATGCTATTTGTTCTCAACTTTGCAATTCTTGGATATTTGGTTAGTTAAATATTTATTTTCTGTTTTCCATTTTATATTGCACTTTTTGAAAATGCATTTGCAAGCTGGCTATGTACATTTGAAACTTTAAATGGGCAACAAATTTGTATGTTTTACTACCTACAGGTTTACGGACAAAGCTACAATCAAGTAATATCAGACTTCCGGGATTTCCCAAATGCAATATATGCAATGTTTCGTGCTTTTAGAGGGCGTCTTGATGTCAGAACATGCTTCGACTACAGTCCTTTCTTCACCATATTCTTTTTCTTTTCATACTTTTTCGGAATTTTCTACATATTTTGCCGGTATGTCAAAGAGTGAAACAAGTTCAATTTATTTCAATGTTGTATTATGCAAAATCCATTTGTGTATCATGTATGTTATTTGTCTTATTAATATATATACAGGTAGATAAAATATAGCGATATTAATGTTGGAGACAGGATGTATGCACAATGATAGTTCAGGCCTACACTTGATATGCTATTTGCTCTTTATTTTCTCAGGATATTTGCTGCCATTCTTATCAATGAATACAAGTTCAGTCATGGCAGAAAAAGTCATCTGAGGACGGACGTTCCAGATTACGAAATATTAAAACATTTAATAGCAAGAATTAAAATGCGCCTTGGAATCATAAAACCAAAGCAGGTGAGATATTTGAAAATTTTTTTTGATTCCAAACTATTGTCACAGCAGCAAATTAATTCTGCACTTTCCTATGAATCAACCTATTTTAAACTTGTATATTCAAATCCAGTATCGACCTATGGTAAGATTCGAAGGAATGTCAACTCCATCTTCAAGAGGGTCATTCATGTCCCTAGACTCATTTGACACATGCTTCATGCCAGGGAGGATTTCTCAATGTTCATATGCAACAGGTGATTATCTTCTGCTAATTACATTCTTTTATCATTGTGATTTGAATTGCATTTGTCAATCTTTAAAATATCCAATTGACCTCATCTACTAAGTATAACACAAAATTGTGCAAAATCAACTTGTATGTAAATTGAAAAACATAAGAGTTAAATGGGAATCACAAACTACAATCTATCTAATAAACTGAACTGCAAATGCAGGGAGTGGTATCAACCCCGAGTGAGAGTAAAGACTCTTTACCACTCTTCATTATAATGTGGTTAATAAGTGATGCCGAAAAAGCCTGCAGGCTCATTCGTCTGAAGCCATTGATCTAGCGTACTACAAAGTTTGGTAACCGCTTCATCGAGTTTTGCGCAGTACTGCTTACTATTATAGCAGTAGCAGGACAAGCACCCTGGACTGAAAATAATGATTTACTAATTAAAAAAAACTTTGTTCTAGGAATCTCTTCATCATCATCAGATTCTGGATTTGGGACACCATCGGATCATTCAATATCTGTGTATGATTACCTGACATTAGACCAACCTTCAGACACACCAATGGACAATCAACATCTTGACTACTTGTATAACAGATTGTCAAACTATTCAGTTGACATGATGTTACATAGATTTGAACGTGTGAATGTACTGACAAATGAGGTCACTGATATGGAATCGGAGGCTTTAGAAGTATGTAATTGTGTTACGAGTATCATACTAATATTTTTCAGAATTGAAACAGGATAAATTTGTTTAATGCAAACACCGAGGCAGGCTACTGCATTATTCAATCATGACCTACTGTGCATATAATACTTGTTTAAAACTCTGTACAGTCATAGCAAATATTATTGACATTGTTTAGATAACCCAGCGAAAGAAACAACTTGCAATGCTGCAAAGTCAAGCAAGAGAGATAGCTACGGCAGCATCAAGTATGACTGTACAGCCACACTTCATACCTGCATCTGAAAGTAAAGGATCTGTGAGAAGTGCTGGTAAATATGCTGCATATTTAGACCTGAAGTCATTTTTCAAAAATTCAACTTGTCAAATGACACGGTGAGATGGAAAATTTGTGAATTAGACCCTTGCAGTGTGCTTGTATCATTGTCTGCTTGGTATGCTGCGTTAGTACCTATTTCAAGTCTACGTAACTTATATTTCTTTCATAATTATGTTATTTTATCAACTTCTTACATTAATGACTGATGTAATTCAGTATCATCTAATACGGCCTCAATTAAATAAGAAAACATGATATGAATAATGACAATTTATATTTCAGCAACCTATTCTAGTCGAGGTCATTTCAGCATGCACAGCCAACAAACATTATCTCAAACAAGTTTGAACAGGTTTGTCAAATCTTTGTTTCATCATTCACTCTAACTTTGAATCGTTATTTGCAAACATTATAATTTCTATTTAGTGGCCGAAAAAGTGAAATTTCAAATGATTCAAGATTTCAAACAGTGATGCAGAGCATGTTTCCAGATGTAGGCGACCCTTTACGTCGACCTCCAGTCAGGAGTAGTTCTTACACTGGTCCGTCACAGACACAAAAAGGGTGAGTTGTATAGATAAAAGAAATTTAACATTTTCAAATTATGATTATGTAAAATTTTCAGAATCATTCAGGTTGTCTATTGGATAGTAAATAGTATTGCATAATTCTTATCCATTATTGTTTTAGTACTGTGCGAGGCACAATTAGTGCAAGTTCTGTATTGAAGAAAGATGAAGATCCAACTGGAAAATGGGGCATCGCGGTCCATAATTCCACAAAGAAACGACCACATAGTGATGAAGGTGTGCGCTTCAGTACAGACTCAACATTACTAGCACAAGAAAAGCATAGCCGTGCATCTCTTAATGATCTCAACACACGTTATATAAAGCAATCATCCGGACGATCTGGTTCTCCTCATCCACAAAAAATAGACTCTAAAGGTACTAAACACCGACCAAGTCCTCTTGGCAGAACTCCAAAGAAAAGTGCTTGGCAGCTGCAATAATATTTTTTGCAACCTTACTCTTTTTCTTTTGGTCTGTCAATAAGCGCACAACATTCACACGTTTTACTATTAAACTATGGTCATTCTGATGAAGCAATTCGAGGTCTTTATATTTTGGTGAAGTGCTTATTGAACAGTGTAAGGTGTGAGTCCATTTTATATATCTTAATATATTGTATTTAAATATAATTGTAGTTAGTATCATTTTTTGACAATCTTATACTGTGAGAATCTTAGTAAAAGTATTTATATTTATGTGTTTATTATTTTTTCCATGTTCATCATTAATACTCGTGTGTTCCGTTTTTAAAGCTACAATTTTTATTTTCTATCTCTTCACTATTATTATAATTCTTCATTTTTACAAATTATTTTTGACGGCAAGTGCCATTAATCATGTGCTGGTGCCAATTTTTTACCTTTTTCAAAATCACTGACAAAAGACTCATTCAGTAAAAGTCTGCTATATTTTTATACATATTGTAAAAAGTGTAATTACAGTATTTGTATAATAAATTCGAATATTGAAATTGTCCTTGTTTCTGTCATACTTCATAGATTCAACACAGATAGAATCAGTTTTTTTCAAATAATGAAAGTTAATAGTATGGAAATAAATAACGTTATTACATATTTTCCTTGCTATGAGTTTTCTTCAGTCGAGTATACTCCATTTTGAGCTGCATTTTATGAGATTTATTCACATAATTCTGGCTGTGAAAAGAAAGTAATGAAACGTATTAAGAATATATTAGTAAGTCCAAAAACATGGAAATTAGGACAATTATTGAAGCAAATATTTCTTCACCTGTTGATGAAATGTTTATGCACTTTTTCCGATTTTGTTTCTGAATTCGAGTCAGGATCAGGAAGTCTATGCAGCAATACAGACAGCTTCTTTGATTCTTTCTGTTTCCAAAAATTAAAACATTACCGACTAATTTCTTTCATTATAATAATAATGCACTATTTTTATCATGTCTGCATGTGGAAGTCTATTTCATTCTGTTAGTAATTGTCCAAGACAAAATTGAAAATAAACTAATTTTGGTTCTGGTGATGTCTGTCCTAATCAACTCTGATACATATATTTTTGAACTAGCGCCCAAATGGCCACAATTATGACTAAATCTGATCTAGTCGCTTACTTTTAGCTTTTCTGCAAGTAATTTATTCTCCACTAACTCCGACTTCCACTTCTTCAATATCTGTTTAGACTTGTCTTTAAATATTCTGTTCACCTCTTTCCGATTATGAATTTGTTGCTGCAAGTAAAATACTTCATTCAAAAGTATACTTTTATTACGCATATTTAAGCTTGTTTATACACATACTTCGTTTAAAGCGTCGATGCTCTTCCACTGCTTCATAATTGACATTTCTACAAATTTTCTCTTCCCAAGCTTACCACGTCTTTTCTTTTCGTCTCCCTTTTCATTGAAGGACTTCTGAATTTCTCCGAAGATTTTGTCAATGCTTTGAATAATTGGACATTGTTTATGAAATTATTCAAAAACTGGAATCATTACAAGGACGTAGCTTGTCATATGAATATGATCAAGCCGTTTTATCGACTTTCCTCTCCTCTGGTATAAATATGTAAATCTTATTCTATCCTACAACGCTTCATCAGCAAACCAGTGACCATCCAAACACAGGATTGTAATTTATTTTAGATAAACCCGTCTTGACAACGTACGATACACATCAAGGAATCGAACTAAACAGAATCAGGGAAAACGCGCAAAATATCGGCATTTAGAACGATCACATTAAGTTCACGTGCATGTCTAACGCAATATAAACAATCACACAAAATAACATGAAAATAATATATACACAAATGATGAGAACGCATGTACATTATATCTGGTCATAGCTTATTAAATTGAGGGGGAATGATACTCTTATTGAGAGTGAAAATTGTGAGTTGTGAAAATGCCTAATACGATTATCTGAATAGCCAGAGAATTGGCCGGAATGCAAATTAAGCAAAATGTAACAGGGAGAAAGTAAAACGATATTGGGGTAAGAACTCACACCCAAGGTTTTTGGTTTACACCGGTCAATTGGAAATATAATATAGTCTATAATTGTTAGAAACTAATAAGGAAACTGAGAATTTTAGGACTTCCGCTATTATGACAGCATTGCGTCCCAAGCTAAAATTTCATAAATTTACCACAGCGAAAAGCGTCAGACTCAGACACCATGGAAGGGTAACGTTACCAGTCGAGTACGGTACCATAACCTGTGCTTGTACGTAGTGATGTCGAACTTACTCGTGCTCAAGTGTTTGGTTTGTCTTTGAGATTGATTGATTCATTCCTATCTTCAGAAAGCTTAGAAGTGTGATGAAAATAAAACAGGTGCTTCGCTTTCACAGCGTCCGTCGCCCGCGCCAACTTGTATGCCGCACTGTCCGTTCAGCTCAAAATCACTCTTCCGTCGCATAATCGATGGGTGTTTCCCCGAGCATCGATTTCCTTGTTTATAGTCGTCACAATGACCAATCAGCAATAAGCCTACGATGACGTAACAATAGCAATTCATGAAGTCGCTCAGACACATCTACGCAACGACTTGCCAACTTGGAATATTTTTATCTATATTTAGATTATTTTCGTATAATTTAGATGTAATGAATACCCATTCAGATTTTATATTATTTTCTAGATTGTTTTAGCATTCATTTAGATATATTTAGATTATTTTAACAAATGTTATTTTGCATTGTTCTCTAGTGGCAAAGAAGTGAAGTGCAGTTCATGTTGTCACAAAACTTGCCTATGAATGACTCATTATATCACAAGCATAACTATGCTGTGTGTTAACTAAGTGTGTTCGTGTTATCGTTATTTAGATACAATTACAGTAAAATACGAAAATTCAATATTCTATTTACTTACAGAATCTTCAATAAATATTGGTATTTGTATATTGTATCTTTGCATTATTCAATATTAGTGTATTTGATATGCGGAGATTGCAGAGAGAAAAAATTACATCCATATATAATTATTGTGCAATTTTCCACTAACGTTCAAGCCTCCACTTATGAACATCAGCTATAAGTTGGTAATAATTGAATTGAAAAATACATTCACACAGGTCAGATGGCAACAAGCTTTCAATTTTTCTCATGATAAATACCTAAGTTGCCCTACTTGTGTTCCAAATGACGTATTGACTATCGATATGAGTAATTATTTTCTTTATATTGGAATTTTTGTTTTTTATTGAAAATGTAACTTTGGTATTTTGGATTATTATTTTTGAACTTAGAATATTTTAGATATTATTTGTTGAGATTCTAGATTATTTTATCTTTGAACATTAAACATTGCCTCGTTTTCGTGGTTTTGCAGTTTTGTCAGTTTTCAGTTGTCTTTCCAAAAAATGATTGTAAAACAAATAACTTAATTGTCATTATGTCTTTCGAAGACTTTTAGTTTACTATGCAATTCAAGAGTCAAACAACAAACTGTTGTAGTCCGGCAGATAAGGGGCTATTTTGGGCCTAACCTTGTTTTCAGACATAAAGTTTTTTTATTTGTGATTATTCATCTTGGGGTATTTTCCCATCATTTCTACATGGGTGTGGAGTTTGCAGCCTTGAGCGTTTTTTTACGGCTTGATATTTGTATTAGTGTTTTTTTGTCAAATCTGTGTACCATAATGGCGCACAACCTCAACCCTAACCTGGTACACATACTATGTTCAGCTTGTGCGCCATATTGGTGAACCCTGCCAAAACTGAGAGACGACCGTGCTTCTCTTGCATGTTGTCATGCTGTCCCTCGAATTCAGCTACAGCAAAAAATTAACGAAAACGGGTGTTAGATTTTATGATTTCATTAATATTCTCGACAATGAATGATATACGAGTGGTAAAGTGCCAAGTTATTCCAACAACATGATCATGTTTTGCCCCAAGAGATCTAACTACAAATATTAAAAAAGTGAGGCCAAAAAAGTTACACTACAACATAGTCAAATGTGCTGTATTTACGATAGATAACAGGTTTACCAAAAAGCATTACATGTGAAATGGTAAAATAAAGACCAATTTAGCAATATTAGGACTTGTTGATATGCATCTGTTGATGACTTTAAGTGTTTGTTTCGGAGTGTTTGTTTAATGACAGAATCAATTGTGGTTGTTGAGGATGTTTCAAAAACAGCTTGAATGGAAAAAAGTTTTTACAAAATGTGAAGATTTGAGAGTAGTAGAGAAGTAGAAAAAATACTCCCATGTTTTCTTCATTTAATAACCATGCCAAAGAACTTCTCCGATAAATATACACAGCAATTGCGAGAGGGAAGAATGCCAAGATGGGATTTCATTTCATTGCAAACCAATATCAGCGATTCTTAGATATATTCGCACATTCTCATCTGAACTGCGTGGAAAAGATTATACCTAATTACACACTTGAAAAACTATGTCAGATGAGCGTCACATTATCGAATATTAGTGAAGGAATAATGCAATGGGAAAACATATAAGGCGTAACTTTCAGTAATATGCAATCAAATAATCATATTGTAGAATATATATTCAAAAACATTTCGTCACGCCAACCGCAGTCCGAAACTTTTTGTCTCTGACTAAGCTTAGATACCAATTGACACTCGTGTAAACTGGTAAGAGGCAGGTTTCATATTGAAACGCCACAGGATGAAGCAGATTATATGAGTATCCATGCCCCAGCTGTCATTTGAGTGGGTACTGCTGTTTTTAATGCAGATAATACTGATCTTTTGAAGCGCAGTTTTTACCACTTCATGGCAGCTCATGCCACGAACGTACGCGGCGTCTCTTGACATGGTTTTATCGCGCTATTGCCGGTATATTTACAAAGTCTTGTACAATATTTTAGTTTATCATGTGGAATTATATCTACTTAAACCTAATCCTGACCCCAAATACATCAAAACTGTATTCATGAGAAAAGCGTTACAACTTACCCAATATTTATCACCATCAGGGGCAGCCCTGCTATTACAGCCGACATGCCGTGGTTACGGCAGCAAAATTGGTGGTATTCGATTTGCTGCGTAATCACGGCAGCTCGCTATTGGTTTGTGACAGCTAAAAAGTCAGTCGCCGTGAGTTTGGTCGGCCATGGTTTGGAAAGCCCGCCATGGTTTTGCGGCAGCTCTAGACGCCACAAAATACTTGAAACTGCACTTGGATCTTTTTGTATTACAGATTTACTGGCATCACCGATTTAAGGATGACAAATGATGAATATCAATAAACCAGTTGAAAACCAACAAGCAATATTACAAAACTCACTTACAACACGCGGTTTAAATGAATGTGACTATATAATTCGGCATTGTAAAAAAAGCTAAAACTATTATTCTTTAGAACAGCATACAAATTCTATGGGATGAAATCATACACAAAAGCTCGTCAAAAACCTATAGGTCAAGAAACAAGTGGAATTTGAGCACGTGCGCAAAAATGTGCGCGTTACCACGTACAACCGAGGCACTCAGGAAAATGTGTGTGATGTACTAGTGATTAAAAAATGTTTGACTCAACTCATAACAGGTGCACATCTCGGTTCCGCATACGCATACCCTCTATCTCCACAAGGATATAACAATTTGGCCTAAGTCAATGCTGAACCTGAAAGGTTCCGGTTCTTCGAAAAGTAAACACGTTACACATCGTTAGATACCAGTGGACGGTTTTACATGGCCTCGTTCGGAGCGAAAGACAAGGTCGAATATTTCAATCCATTTCAACTAATAAAATATTTCCCAGGTCCCGAAATTTTAAGCAAGAAAACGAAATGCCCGCGGCAACGCAAATGCAGTTTGAAAAGTGAAAAAGAAAGTGGCTAGATGCTGTCGATGGATCTTGGCTTATATTAGGGAAATAAACTACCATTCATTGTTATAAAATTGAATTTCTGACATTGTGAGGAGATTCAATGTTACTATGTATGCAAAACTAACCCATGTTGTTAAGAAATAATTGTTTTTAACAAAAAGGTGCTCCCGGAGTATTCGTACCAAGATGGCGCACAGCCTGAACATTGTATGTGTACCAGGTTAGGGTTCAGGATGTGCGTCATCTTGGTACGAATACTTCCGTAGCGCCTTAAAATCCAATTAGAAAAAATGCTCAACATTAAATACTCCACATCCACATGGGTATCATTATTTATGTCATCGACATTATATCTAAACAATAAAAAAACGTTATGTCTCAAAACAATCTTCGGCCACGATTCTGCCGGACTATTATAAACTGCTTGTCTGAGGAAGTCGGATTTTGGTCAGAAGAAACGTTTACAGACATACATTTATGTTAGTTTACAGCAGGACTCTTGAAATTGCATAGTATGGTGTTTTATTCCTCAATAATCCTCATAGTTAACAAATTCCTCAGCTTTATTACTTATCGATTTTAATCGGTAAGTATGTTGATAGGTATTTGTCTGTATGTCTGTTAGATGCACACGATATCTCACGAAAGCGATTGAATCTGCTCCAGATTTTGCATGTGCATTCATCTTATCTCGGACCAGAAGCCTATTGATTTTGGGCGAATTATGTCGTATAATTAGCGAGTTATCAATTAATTATTGATATAGTGATCTAGATTTTTGTAAAGAGAGAGAATTTTGAGACCCGCCGAGTGTGTGTGTGCGATGCGCAGTGCGCAAGTTACAAGAGCGGATGAATCGAAACTGCAGTTTCTGTTTTGGGGGAACCCTTAACTATCGATCGATAAGTCTTCGGTTTCCAACCGATATTCTCGTTTATTAATGCCTCGTTAACCTCAAAACATCTTCATAGTGAAGGGGAAAAAATGGAGAAAATTTCGAGTTTTCGAGATCAGTTTGATAGGCAGTTTCAATTGCCGGAGAAAGTATTTCAATATGAATAGCCCATCTAAGCTGTTTGCAACTGTTATGATTCTCATATACCTTAACGCTTTTTTTTAAAGACTCCTTTGATACATTTCATTCTTACAGGTATAGCGCTGATAGCAGCAGCGATGATAGCCTGCAACAGGTTGGATTGGTGGAGCATTGTCGTTTTTTTGTAGTACGGTATCTGAAATGATGAAGAACACATATTTGGAGCAACGTAAGTGTTTTTCGACAAATGAAAATACCACTAAATACTCACTAATACTTCCCATACATAATGCACTTTATATGACGTACTATACAGTCCTGCAGTGCTTGCATACTAGATTATATCTACACTGAATCTCGAAAAGTCACACAATCTGAAATGCCTTGTATATTCTAAAACTTCAACTTTCAGCCCACAACTTGATTTCTTACCTCTCCATCGCTTCATTTCTTTCAACTCCTGCATAACTTATCATTGCTGCCGAGTTTCTTGTCGACTTTGGGAATTTAGACAAACTGACAGCAACGTAAAATTGGTTACTTTCCCATCTTTCTCACAAATGTGCATTACACACACGGTCATTA